ACCATTTCAACAGTTGGCTACCGATTCCGTGATTCTTGCCATGGGCGATGAACACCTCGGAGTAGGTTTCGGTGGAATCAAATCTCACCATGTAGTACGTGATGTTTTCTCAGGCGTTCGACTTGCCTACCCTGTGAGTAGGCGGGACACGCAAGCGCATGTCAAAAACTTCCGTCAGTTCATGGGCCTTCGGGCCACTGATTCGCCGCCAACGTGTCTAGTAAAAATGGATGCAGCAGGAGAGCTCGAAGGAGCGGCCCATGAAGTCGGTCTCGTCCCCGAGACAAGCTTACCGAACAGGTGGCCACACAACACCGTTCTGGAGCGCGACATTCGCGAAGAGAAGGAATGCTGCCGCAGCATCCACATGCAATCAGGGTTGCCTTATTCGTTGCATACGTTTAGTTACCCATTTGCATGTCTCTCCATGTCGTTCGACAGGCCTGCACCATTCAGCCCAGGGAAAACCCAATGGGAAGCCCTCACCAAAGAAAAGTTCCAAGGGAAGAGATGCTGTTTCGGGCAATTAGTTTGGTACAGAACCAAGACTCCTGGCAAGCGCACTCTCGATCCGAACATGGCGCCAGCGCTCTTTTTGGGTTGGAGGATCGATCCGGGGTTGCGGTACCGTAATGTGGTCAAAGTCATGGACTATGAAGCCTTCCGCAAAGATGGTTCCATTTCCGTTCACGATGTTCCTGAACCAGAATTGTTCGTTGAAGACGGCCCCCCAAGCTTTCCGATTGCAGCAGCAGCAGATAGAGCATTGCATGGAGGCAAGACAGAGGGGTCTGACCCCCCACCCATGCCCCTGCGAGAGGCGCCCTTCGGTGCCCCACCGACTCCATCCGCTGTCAAGTCAAAATCCGTGTACATAACTGTTGAGAGGATCATCAAGTTCAAGGAAACGCCAGGTTGCCGTGCATGCACCGGTCATTCCAAGATTCACAGTGCCGAATGCAAGAAGAGGTTCTCCGAACTTGTTTCTGCAGATCGAGCTGAAGCAGCTGCAAAAAGCGCTGCCAAAACTGAATCTAAGGAACCCATTCCCATTGTTCATACTGAAGGGGATGAGGAGTTAGCTAGAGCAATCCACGCATCCGAGCATGGAGAGGATCCTAAGCCCGCAGTTAGTGCAGAAGATGTTGCGCATGAATTTGATGCAGCCGAAGCTGGGGAGCCCGCTCCCTCAAGACCCGGCGGCTCATTTTTCGATACTGCGCCAGCGACAGCCGCTACATCGCAAGGTGAAGATTTTTGGGTGTTCAAAGAAAATGCCAACTGTTTGGTCCGATACCATATCATGCCAAGGCAAAATCTCTTTACCCCAAAAGAGGTCGAGGATTGCCCCGTTTCCCCAGAAAGATTTACTGCAGCTCGCACCACTCGTGCCGTGTTTCAGGGGGGCAAAGCAGACAACATCCATGATGGTTGGTTTGGTAGCCGACCCAATCGCTCACTTGGAGATGCATGGACCGGGTTCACAGTGTTCAAGTTAAAACCCATTCAGTCCGATTGTGTTATCACCACAGGTGCAGCCGTGATGTTAGACTCCGTACCGCCGACACCTCTCACCGATGCATCAAAGAACGGTCGTCCGAACACATTGCCAATTTTCGGCATGCCATGCAGCGCAGAGGTTGAAGCTCCACAGCGCAAGCAGTTTGAGGTTGGAAATCATCGTGCCCGCAAGAAACAGGCGCGTATTGACAAGTTGCCTGTGATGTTCGAATACGCATGTTCACCAGAGTCCAATATGGGTCGCGTGTTTGAAGGTCTTGGCATACCTCATGTTAGGCTGGCTAAAGAGTTTATCGACCTCAGCACAGCTGAAGGAGAAATCCAGTTGCAGTCGCAGATTGAAGGTTGTGATAAACCCAATCTCTGGGCCGCAATTCCCTGCACATCAGGTTCAGCATGGCAACGCCTTAATAAGGCCAAGTTAGGAAGCCAGTTCAAAAAGAAACTGAAGCAAAAAGTTAGAGAGTCGAGAGAGTTGTTCTCCAGATTCAGACGTCACGCAGAGACTGTCCTCCATCAGGGGGGTAGTGTTTCGTTTGAGTGGCCAAGGGATTGCGACAGCTGGGCTAGGGATGATGTTTCCGCATTCTTTAGAGAATATGCACACGTCTTCACCCCAGCGACCTTCCATGGTTGCGCCCTAGGCCTGAAGGACAGCAATGGCTATCCCATCAAGAAGCCATGGAAAGTCATGACCAGCAATAGCACACTCGCGTCCGCACTAGGTGCATTCAAGTGTCCGCACGAAAAAGGGTATAAACATTCGCTTGCAGCAGGTAACAAGACCGCAAAGACCGCTTTCTACCCCGAAGGCATGTGTCTCACAGTTGCCCGTGCGCTGTATCCAACAGTTCAACCCGTTGTGCCTGCGATGCCTGTCCAAGTGCCATTGCCTCTCGATCACCGGGAACGTGAACAGCAGTTGAAGCACATATCCCCTCTCTCTGGTTTGGAAGATATAGGTGTTGCTGTTGAGTCAGATGAAAAGTGTCACAACATCCTTGAGCAAGTTCTTGATGTTGAAAATCTCATCGCACATTCCCTAGGACAAGTCACAGAGAAGAAGGATCCTGAGATCACCGCAATGGTGACCAGACTCTTGTCACGTGCCGAAATGTTGGCTTCCCCGGAAGCTCTTGAAGCCGTTCGACTTGAAGCCACAGGCCTGGAGAAAGCCGGTGCTTGGGATCTAAATTCAGTCCGAGAGTACGATCAAGTCGCTGCTGAGGCGCGACGATCCAGTATAAAAGTCCATTTCGGGCAGTTGATGTCGCTAGCATCCGTCAAGTTCGCCGAACTCGCGAAACACCTTCAGAAGATGAAAGGTAGGATTGTGTATCGCGGAGACTGTGCGAAAGACGAACATGGCGCAGCAGCTGTCTACCAAGAGTTGGGAGCAAATCCCACGAGCGTACAAGGTCTTAATAACTGTCTCGCTTATGGATCCCTGCCAGGGAATTCCACCACAACAGCGGACGCTATAAAGGCTTATGTGCAAGCACTGCTGAAGTCCAAGTACCAAACTTGGATCACACTCCCGCCTGAGCTCCGGCCAAGGTGGTGGCGCGAGCGTTTCGTGAAACCTGTGGTTTTGCTCGTTAAAGCTCTTTATGGGCATCCTGACGCTGGCGGACTCTGGGAGGCACACCTCAAAGGGTTCATTAGTGAACTTGGAGGGCGTGAGGTCGCAGAGTTTCCTGGAAACTTCTGGTTCAAGGAGTCCGGGTTACTTCTCTCGACATACGTCGACGACTTGACGTTGGCCGGCCCCAGCCACCTTCATAAAGACTTCTGGGAAAAGTTAACAAGACTGGTTGATATAGAACCCCCAGAAGACATATATCGGGTGCTAGGCAGGAATCACCTTTTGATAGATGCTCCAAAGGACCCAACTGAACCCGATCTTAATGCCGCAATGGGCAGATTGAAAGGGGGCATGGCGTTCGACATGCGGGATTATGCCCGTCAAACGGTAGCATTATATCTTGAGGTTGCACAGCTGAAAAGTGAAAAGTTGCGTGATGCCACCACTCCATTCTGTCCCGCTGGATCCCTCGATCCTGCAGATGACGCCTTGGAGGGTGAGCTCGGCTTCGCTGCTTGCCGCGTGTTGATGAAAGCCTTGTGGCTCGGCCGTTTGGCACGCCCAGACCTGGTCAAGCCCATTGGCGACCTTGCCTCATTTGTTCAAAAATGGTCTAGAAACTGCGATAAGCAGCTACATAGGCTTGTTTGCTACATAAACAGCACGGTCAACAGCACGCTAGTAGGCACAGTTCAAGATTCGACTGAGGATTTGCATCTGTCTCTTTATGTAGACGCCGATTTCGCCGGAGAGCGAGATGCAAAATCCACGTCCGGAGGATTCTTGATTTTGAGTGGTCCGCACACGCATTTTCCGCTTGCGTGGGTATCCAAAAGGCAGACATCGGTCTCCCGGTCAACGACCGAGGCGGAGATTGTATCTCTCGCATACTCCCTTTATCAGGAGGCGCTCCCTGCGCTTAGCTTGTGGGAGCTGATCTTGGACCGACCATTCCATCTCAAGATCCACGAGGACAATCAGGCGACTATCCTCGTAGCAAGGAAAGGTTTCTCATCCAAGCTACGCTGTGTCCAGCGAACACACAAGGTGAACCTCGCGTGCATCGCAGAGCAGCTTGAAAGCGAACACATCTCGATAGAATACGTCCAAACCGACATGCAGTCAGCGGACATCTTCACGAAAGCACTTCCACCCAACAAGTGGGACCATGCCATCCGGTTGCTCGGCATTCGTGTTGACCTTCCAGAGAAGCTTGAAGACGTTCGTGAAAGTAGGGCCGCTAAAGCAGCTGCCTAGTGCGCTGCAGCATGTCCGCAAATTTCCAAAAGTGTGCAAAGTGCCTGGGTGATGCTTGAATAACTTGTGTCAGTCGTTGTGATGTAAACTTGACTTCAAGTTGGCGTGGTAATGCGCCCAAGACACTCCCTCAGTGCCGTCAATGAGGGGGGAGTCAATTATCACGATGACATTTATGGCCCAGAGGTACATGAGGTAGGTCCCCATGTAGTCAGTTGCATGTTGTACATTCAAGTGATTGCCAAAGCATGATCCAATCACTGCTTTGGCTCAAGTGCTGAAAACAGCGCGTTGCACCGCGCTAGCCCCAAGGTTAAGGGAGAGGTCGCAGTCACGGAGGGGTTCGTTCCTTTTAAGGTCCCGGGTTCCCCCGTTGTTGACAAAACTGTGTTTCCCTCTCCTTTGAGTATTGCGCATCAGAATTTGATGGCTCGATGAAGGGCGCAAACTTCGGTGGGGCTCTGGCTTTGACTCTTTGCCCTGGAGGAATGGCAGCGCCTTTGTGGCTCCATTCCAACTTTCGAACTCTTCAGATGTCTGGAATTTGGTCAACCCGCAACATGTTCCGGATTGGCCACTCCCTGAATCTGTACCGGAGAACAAGGAACTGCATCTCTGGTCTTAAAATGCTCTCAAGGCGCTTCGGGCCATCAAGAGGATTGTGAAGGGCCTGTGCCTGAGTGACAATCTTTGAACATCTGAATCTGAGTGGTGCAACGCCATTGCCAAATAATGCCCTGCAGGATGCAACAATCAGTGGCACGAATGGCGTGATTGAATGGCAAGAACCATGTTCAGTCGCTTGTGATTTTTGCGGACTGACTGACTTCTAGCGTGAGCAAACCATGTTGGCGAGCCTTGAGACATGTATGCGAAGGTGTCCTCAGCATTTACAGCCTGGTGCAACCCAAATCGATTGTTCTGGAAACACACCTAGGCGCGGGGGACATCGGCCGCGTCATTCAGGAGGTTGCGATCATGAAGACGCTGGACCACCCCAATATCATCAAGCTCTTTGACGCTCAGACATTTAAGAGCAAGCTTCCTTTGCTGGCCGGGCCAACCTTTCAACAAGCGAGTCAATCCTTTCATCTCTATCTCATGGGCTCACCGCTAGACGTAGAGGTTATTCCATGAGATAGCGCTTCACCTGGATTCCTCACACACACACACACACACGCACAACCATCTCTTAGTCCCTTTCTGTAATAGGTGTGCGAAAGGAAAAGGAAAGAAAGGTTAACCGCTATCCGTGGAAGAGATAGCGGGTGAGATGATAGGATGGCATTGTCTCTTCCATGCCATTCCCATCTTCGTCCTTTCCTCTCTCATTCCACAATTACCTTCCACTCGCGAATGTGGGAATGATAGACAGGTAAGGAATGAGAGATATGGAAAGGCTTAGGAACGGTCTAAATGATAGACAAATAAGAAAATGACCGTTCCATCATAGCCTTCCTCCTCGTCCACCCTTCATTCACATCCTAAAGTCGCCATTTGGTGGATGCTGAACATTTCCACTTCGACCTATTTAACCTATTTGGCAGACTTTCACCTGGGATCACGTCAAAGAAGTAGATGTCAGGTATTGAGTCAATGTTAGTTGATCCTCGGAAAAGGTTGAGTGGGTGAAATCTTGTATCTTCTTTTGATCCTGGCTGCAAATTTGTGCAGTGTCAAGAGACTCGTTCCCAGCTGCAGATCAGGAAACCTTCGAGGACGACCGGCACCTGCAGCTCGGCCTACATCAGCGTTGTGCGCCTTATGCTGACGCGTGTAGAGAGGAAGGCACTCGGGTGGCGGGGTCTCCACCCGTTTTTTTCTCTCTTCGTGGCTTGGTGGGCGGTTTTTTCCCGGCCCGAGGTTCTTGGTGCTGGAATTCTGCAAGGGGGGCGACGTCCTGGACCGTGTCGTGGCCGATGGTGTCATGGACGAGCTCTCGCTGCTCAGCATGAGTTGGGTCGAAGATGAGGGACTCCATCGGTGAGAGTCCCTTGCTTTATGGGCATATGTTGTTTGGAGGGTAATAGTGGGCTTGTTCAAAAGGCGCAACAAAGGCAAACCACCAGTTTTGGTGTTCCCCATGTTGAGGCACCTCATGAAAAATGGCACAGGAGAACCTCTTAGTTGGGAAGCCGACTCTGCAGATGCAGGATGTGTGAGCCATGCAGCTGTGGTCAACCAGACTTCCAGGTTCCCAGATAAGGGACCATGTTGGAATCACTTGAGGCTGTACAAGTCATTGCTGGAACTTGCGTCAGACGCCGCGATAGTAGGGTGGCAAAATATGGACATCCCCCTCGTGCGGCACTGGGATCCAATGGGTCGATTTCGCGAACTGTGACCAGGTCGGCCATGGTGATGAGAGGGATGCTGTCTGCGCCCTTGCCCTAGTTCGGCGAAAGAGCTGCACCCGGCCTTCAGAATAGTCAGAAGGGAGGTAGAATGTTCATCGGAGCCGATGGCCGGATGCGCTATCTGTTGGACAGATTGATATGGGAGGAAGGCAAGAGCTGAGCAGCAAGCCTCACGAGAACGAGCCACCAGCCACCAGCCACGCCTTCCCCTACATACCCTGTTCAACTCATGTCCTTCGCAGGATTTCCAGGGCCCCTTCTTCCTTCCCCGCAACTGTTGAGTGCTCAGGCTGAACTACCTGAATGCCAATGGCTACGCTCACCGCGACCTAAAGCCCGAGAACATCATGTACAAGGTGATCCGGGCCCTGTTTGGAAACCTAGCATGACCGGCGCTTCAAGACAAAGCCGAACAAGTGAACAATCCACCATCCTTACAGCACGGTGCTTGAGAACAAGTCTTGTCAGGAATCTAGGCCCCATGTTTGCCTTTCCGCCACTGCAGGGGGAAGCAGCATTCAGGCTTTTTGTTTGGGCGGCCAAGAGAAGCACTTGCTCACCTACTCTCAGAAACAGGTAAGGCAGCTCTCTATCTCTCTCTCTCTCTCTCTTTCTCTCTCTCTCTCTCTCCCTCTCTCTCTCTCTCTCTCTCTCTCGCTCGCTCGCTCGCTCGCTCGCTCGCTCGGCAGCCGTGTGGGCGGTCGTGCTTCTCGCTTGAAGGAACCAGTCCCGTTTTCATGTTGTGATACTTTTTGTTTGCTGGGACAGGTCTTTCCAGTGGAAAACACATCTCTCAGGAGTCCAAGGAGGACCGGATGGTGTCCCAGCTGCGCCTGGTGGACTTCGGCTATGCCTGCAGAAGCCCGGAGGAGGGGAACGGACATGCCGACAGGGGCACAGTGGAATTCTCGCGTGGTCTGTTGAAGGACTCTCCAGGTTCCCATGTCGCTTTGGCCATTTGACGCGGGACAAAATTGAGCACAGTTGCTTTTGGAAGAGACTTCCTGCATTCAGTTGAATTGGTAGGTTCTGTACCATGATGGGTCAAAGAGGATGCAGATGGCAAAGCTTCCTTTGCGCGACGGGGGGCGTCAAAGTGGTTTGGGGTCTGCATTTGCTCGCTTAAGCAGGTGAGCAAGCTGGCTTGTCTTCTGCGCATGCGAGGAAGGCAAATCCCTGCGGACGAAGGTGGGCAGTCCATACTACGCGGAGCTGGCGAATTGGTTTGCAGACCCCCGATTCCAAAATGAAGCGTGAGGTCACAAGTGCCATGGTCGAAAGCTCTGTTGTTTCAAGCCAGCATTGGTCGGGTGAAAAAAAAAACCTTTGCAGCTCCCTGACCCCAGGAAATGTAATGCTTGATGTTGAGTTTCTGTGCCTTGTGCTTCAGACGCCAGTTTTGCGGATTCAGCGAGTTGGACTGGGCCTTTGGGCCAGGTGGCCCCGGAGGTGCTGGCCGGGAGCTATGGCAAGGAGCCGGGAGACCCAAGGAGCCGAGAGCTTTCCCGATTTGTATTCGAGTCAGGGACTGGATTTGGTGCTTGGATGAAACGTGACCTGCGGTTGACTCTCACAGAGAGTCGCCCAGTCGGCTCGGTCTGAGGTGTGACATGTGGAGCCTTGGGGCGCTGTGCTTCATGATCATCAGCGGTATCCCGCCCTTTGCTCCCGACTTAGCCAGTGCTTGAGTGTTGCAGATGCGCTCAATGTGGCAAGCAGGGAGCAAGGGAAGTCGACCTTACCTCAGGAGGCGGACTTGAATCCACGGAGTTTTTTGTCGATGCTCGTTATATTTGCACTCCCCAGCACGGAGCGAGCCGTCCACGTGTTCGCGAGATTCGTTGCGGCTCTGCTCAGGGCAATCAAGACGATCGAATGTCATGGTCGTTGGTCCAAGCAACCGGTAAGCTGAAGCTTGGAATGAGATGCAGGGCCCGTTGTCCGAATGAGCGAAGCCAACACCGCATCAAAAGAGCATCTTTTGCATGTTGTTATGCGTGCTAAGTTCGGTGACACGGATGCGCAAACCCTCCGCCTGATCAAGGAAGGGAAGTCTGCCCTGCAAGCTTGACCAGGTTGGCTGGCTCCATGTCATGGCGACAGCATGCCCATTGAGATGTCACTTGCGGAGACGACCAATCACTGAATGCCAAGTTGCCGCCATTTGTATCAGAGACGAGTTCGCTGGTTTGCATAGGATCTTATTGAGTGGCTGAACCTCACTTCGGCAGAAGCATTTTGGTGTTTTGCTGGAGCTGGCTCGCGTGATGCGTCCATGGGAGAGATGTCGCTGGAGTTGGCATGTCAGGTTCATCTTTCAAACGAGCCAGTGGGCGGAGGTGTCCAAAGGCGCTGAGCTTCCAATTTTCGGCACTCAGCTTGCGTGGGCTCAAAGTCTTCACCGGAAAAGTCAGGTCCTGTTGAGTTTTGCTCCAGTTGCAACCTGCAAACATGTGGAGTGCTCAGTGCAAGCAGAAGAAGCTCTTGAGTACGGAAATTTGAACGGGACGCATTGTTGGGGCTCAGCGCACTGCGACTGCAAATTGGAGGGAACCGCTTTGCAGTGTGCAGGCTGCATGCACTTCATCCGGCGTTGCCTGGAGGTGCATCTTTTGCTCCAATCGACATGCTCGTTCAAGGGCTAAGGAACCGAGAGTCGTGTCACTGAAGAAGCTTTCGTGGCTCCATTGGATCATTCTCAAACAAATACACTGTTGGCTTTGAGTCACAACCAACCAGTACTCATAGGTTTTCTTTTAGGCTCACTTTTGGTTGAACATTGATGGGGCTGGTTCCGTGTGGTTCTGGTCATTCACCACTGCCATGTTCTCAGGAGACCTAGTACCCAAATTGCGAACTTGAGGTCAACCGTCCGTTGCCGTTGAAGCGCAGCTTCCCATTCGGTGCGGACGTTTTCAGTCGTGCCCTCTCCCGATGCCTTCATCCCTTCAAGCCTCATGCCATAGGAATTGATCGCACTCAATGGCGGGTGACCCGCGTTCTTTCAAGGCGACCCCCCTCCCTCCCCCCCAACCACCGGTCCCCGCGACAAGTTGGGTGGGGCGTGTCAGGTGGACTTCACCAAACGGCTCACCGTCACAGAGGCGGACCGGGGAAGTCGTGAGGCATACGGCATACTCCACATGTCTGCACGCGTAGACATCTACGTCTACATATGCCATTTGCAAGTACTGTTTTGTCCATAGTGCATTTTCATATTATATGAACAAGTAGGCGTATACATATATTTCATGTACATATTTACATGTCCACGCATTGACATAGACTTTCACATGCAATTGCACATAGATACATATAGCATGTATGTGGCTATATTTAATGCCGGTTTGTGTATGTCTCTTGTGCGCAGAAGCTACGGTTAAGCGCGTTGAGCTCGCGCACGAGGCTTTAGAGCACCCGTGGCTGAAGCACAAGTTTCGTGGCAAGGCGCGGTTTGGGCCACGTGTTTCCTGCAGGAACTCAAGGCTCAGTCAGATGTTTCTTTCTTAGGCATGGCAATAATGGGTTGAAGGTTCAAACGTTTGATAGGTCAATGGATTTTTGAAGCATGGCTGTACTGGGTTGAAGGTTGGACAGTGCATTGATACAGCATGTGGGCCAGGTCGATGGATTAATCGAGATAAGCAAGAGGTGTTGGAATTTGGATGGATGGGTCAGAGTTTATTTGGACAGCATGGCAGCTTCGGCGAGCATGGCTTCTGGGATACTAAGGATAATTCTGCCGATCCGAACTCAGACAATAACCGATGTGTATCCATGCCCGCCGAAGCTTATTGAAGACTTTGGCAGTTGGCGCACATGCTCCCGAATCCAAAGGGCAGCCCCGAGCAACAACTTCTGTTTAGATAGCAAAGCCGCCGAGTACTTGGCATCATTTTAACAGCTCTGGGCATGAGTGTGTCGAATCTGTTTGACCCCTTGCAATTCCAAAGCCATCCAGAGTGGAGGTGGGGTACCCCAATTGCCACACCACATGCTAGGTTTGCAAAGGAGGCCCCTGCTCTAGGCGATGCACCTGCGAGATGAGACGGTGGAGCGCCTGCTGAGTTTCGCGCAGTATCACAACCTGCGGAGGCGTGGAGTTGGTGCCTTGTGCAAAACTGCTGGCGATTTTAGAGCATGTTGGTCACGAGGCTCTTGGATCTCATGTTGCTCTCTAGGGTGGCAGATCAGCACCGTTGGCGTGGGGCTTTGGTCTCAAGCTCTCGTGAGCACTTATCCGTGGAGCACCTGCACCCAGACAAAACAAGAGACTAATCACCGTTGTTCAGTTCCGTCAGAGAGCCAAGCTAGCAGCTATGCTCAGGAAGAAGGTGCAAACACAATTCAAAAAGCACCAGTGCTGGCTCGGACGACGTACGCGTTTCGAGGCCTTACTTCTTGTCTTGCAGTGTGGCTCGAGCCCTCGACCAGACGTTCCAATGCAACGAATCCCCCCCACCCCCCCGACGATCGTTGAGTACACCAAGGCCATCGCGGCTTGCAAGAAGGGGCGCCAGTGGCAACATGCCTTGGCGCTCCTGGGCGAAGCAAAGGCAAGCCGCTTGGAGCCCAACGTCATCACTTTCAACGCCACCATCACGGCCTGTGAGAAGGCCGCCCAGTGGCAGCAGGCGCTGCTTTTGCTCCGGGAGCTACACGCGACGCGTGTGGCTGACGTCATCAGCTACAACGCGGCCATCAGCGCCTGCGGCCAGGCGGCGCAGTGGCAGAGGGGCCTTCTGCTGCTGGGCTGCGCCCAAGGCGGTGGAGTGCAGGTGGATGTCATCACCTGCAATGCGGCCGCCAGTGCCTGTGAGCGGGCCGCGGAATGGCAGCAGGCCGGGGGGTGTCAGAGTGCAAACCTGGGCTTGACATGGGCCTAATCAGGGCGCCGCGCGTTTGTTTGTATTTTTTTCACCGCTCAACAGCAACAGGTCATTTGTCTCAAGATCAAGGGGATTCTTTGAATGGATGGGCTTTGTGGGCTCCCTTTCATGCCAGCAATTTGAGGACTTTGCGTTGTTCACGAGTGCGCAGGCAGTGGGGCTGCTGCAGACGTTCGATGATTTGCAGCTGGAGGCAGACTTGGTGTCTTGCAACGTGGTCATCAGCGCCTGTGCCAAGGCGTCGGCAGGGATTAGGTCACATGTCTTCTTCAAAACGTGGAATGCAGCAGTGGTGCCCTCTACTCTTGACACGATCCCTGAAGTGGGTGAGAATCACACCTCGTTTGGGCGATGACAATTTTTGGCTTGAGTGCTTTGGGGCCAAATTCAAGCAGCTTGGGGTCAACTAAGCCTGCAAATGACCCTCGCTCGTTATTTAAGAGCCCTTTCAAGGCAGGCCAAAGGACGCCGCACCTTTGATCTTCAGTTTCCGTGCAAGTGAGTCATCGTGCTTTGGAACTCTTCTGTTGTGTCTTTTTGGAGGTCCCTAAAATCTGAGACAAACTTGCGTTACAGCCCACTAATGACAGGGTGAACTCCACCGGGGGGAAGCTGTAAGTGGGTTATAGTCCATGGTTGTCAGTAACTTACGCAGTCAAACGGTAGCCGGGGGCCGAAGGGAGTCTTGATTAACCCCATCCCCGAGTTGGGTCCCCAAAATGGGGGCGTCTTCCTTCGGTCTTCAAGGCCGCCAACAAAGGGTCAAAAAAGACGCGTCGGGCGTCGGCCGGCGTCGGGCGTGAGGCGAGGGCCTGGGACTCGGCGCTGCGTCTGCTGGGCGCCGCGGAGCGCCGCGGCCTGGCGCCGGACGTGGTGACCTTCGGGGCCGCCGTGGGCGCCGTGTCCTGGCGCCAGGCGGCGGATGGGCGGAGAGGGGGGGGGGGGGCACCCGGGTGCCAGGGAAGAGGGCGGGGAAGTTTTTTGGGCAGAAGGCGTGGGAGTTTGGCAGGATTGGCCGTAAAAGAGGGGAGTTTCGGCTCTTTTTCATAGTTTTCGGTTGGCGAGCTTTCTTTTTGAAGCTTGTTGAGCGACGAGAAGAGCTAAGACTCTTGGCCGAGGCTCAAGTGACAATCTACTCCAGTATTTCATCCCTGGTTTTGCCACAGCACGATGACGGGTGGGGACTTCTATGTTTAGCCAGGCAAAGGGCACGCTTTTCACGACGGAGCTTTAGGCATTTGGATTTTGGGGTTTATTTAGGCCCTTCAGATTTGCCATGATCAAAAACTGCGATGAGCTTGAAAGGTTCCAGCACTACACTAGGCCTGTATCAAACCCGACCACCCAGACCCACGGACCGGTTGTACTTGCATTCCCCCAAACACAACGCGCGCACACACACACACACAATATTTCCCCCAAAGAAAGACAGACCCATATCACTTAGAAAGTCATCATGTTCACGGCATGTTTCTGCCATTCACAGCCCCGAGTTTCTTTACTCACCTCATGGCATTTGGCAAGGCGCTGGCGCTGCTGGAGGCCAGCCTGGCCTTGGGCCCGGACGCGGTGGTCTTCGGCACCGCGGTGAGCGCCTGCGAGCGCTCCGCGCCCGCGCGCTGGGACGTGGCGCTGGCGCTGCTGGCGCAAACCCAGGCGCTGCGCCTGGAGGCGCGAGTGGCCGCTCGGCGAGTGGCCGGCCGGAAAGCGGGAGGGGGGGGGGCAAAGCAGTGGATGGAAACGGGCCTCTTAAGGGTTCTGCCTTCTGGAAGTTGAGAGATTTCCGGTGCTTTCTTGGGGGGGCGGGGTTCTGCGGTTGATTCTCAACGCCCAAAGGGGAGTTCTGAACATGTTGAACAGTATTTTGTGCAGACTCTCTACATAGGGGGGGGGCCAGAGTTATCCTTGTGACTTCCCAAATCGCAAGCCAAACCCATTTCTGTTTCGGTTTCTGTGGCATTCCTTTTTGGAAAACCCCAGGTTTCCCGTTAAACCCATACACCAGCCAGCCCCTTCGGCCCCCAGTCTTGACCATGGCTTATGTGGTTGAAATATTTCTCAATTATGTGGTTGAAATATTTCTCAAATCTCTGTGGGTGTTTCCACCCACTGCCGGAGCTCTCTGATCAATCCACCCGCCCCCACTCTCCGACGGAAGGGTTCGGCTTCGTCCGTTCGGTGAGGCGGACGCCATCACCTGCAGCGCGGCGGTGAGCGCCTGCGAGAAGGCCTCCGAGTGGCAGCGGGCCTTGCAGGCGATTCACCCGATCGATCGCTTTGTTTTTTTTTCCTTCTCGGATCGAAGCGAAAACAAGGAGAAGCCGGGGGGATGTCTGCTTTTTTCACGGTGGTTGGGGCAAGTTTTCGTTTTGTTTTGGGGTGTGTTTCTTTTTGGTTCTGGTCATTTTTGGTAGGGGGCTGCGAAAAACACAGCTTTTTGCCATCAAGCCAAGGGTTGGAAAGGGAAGCGCACTGATAAATGTAGGTGAAGAGGATTGGAACGAAGAAGCTTGGCGCTTAGGGCAGTGAGGATCTGACCTGCGCATCATTCCAGGAACGCCGCTTTGTTCCCCCAAGTGATGGGTTTTGATTGTGGGGCATCCCGCTTTGGCGGTGGGTCAAAACCGATGGTACCATTTTGGGGTTTTCGGTGCACCACCCATTCTAGTCCATAGTGGGGATTCCGATGGCGAGCGCGTAGGTGCTCCGAGCCGACCTCGACGTGGCGAACGTGGTGACCTACAGCGCAGCCATCAGCGCCTGTGAGAAGGCGGCGGAGTGGCGGACGGCGCCTCGGCTTTTGCCTTCTCCGCGCTTTGTATGTTGTGCTACCACGTGGCTGGCTCTTTTGTTGGGATGGCTTTTTTCCCGAAAGCATCGCGAAGGGTTCTTCCGTGCGGAGCCCTTGGACAAGTTACATAGAGCCCAAGTTACATAGAGCCAAGTTACATAGAGCCAAGTTACATAGAGCCAAGTTACGTAGAGCCAAGTTACATAGAGCCCAAGTTACATAGAGCCAAGTTACATAGAGCCAAGTTACATAGAGCCAAGTTACATAGAGCCAAGTTACATAGAGCCAAGTTACATAGAGCCAAGTTACATAGAGCCAAGTTACATAGAGCCAAGTTACATAGAGCCAAGTTACATAGAGCCAAGTTACATAGAGCCAAGTTACATAGAGCCAAGTTACATAGCCAAGTTACATAGAGCCAAGTTACATAGAGCCAAGTTACATAGAGCCAAGTTACATAGAGCCAAGTTACATAGAGCCAAGTTACATAGAGCCAAGTTACATAGAGCCAAGTTACATAGAGCCAAGTTACATAGAGCCAAGTTACATAGAGCCAAGTTACATAGAGCCAAGTTACATAGAGCCAAGTTACATAGAGCCAAGTTACATAGAGCCAAGTTACATAGAGCCAAGTTACATAGAGCCAAGTTACATAGAGCCAAGTTACATAGAGCCAAGTTACATAGAGCCAAGTTACATAGAGCCAAGTGACATAGAGCCAAGTGACATAGAGCCAAGTGACATAGAGCCAAGTGACATAGAGCCAAGTTACATAGAGCCAAGTTACATAGAGCCAAGTTACATAGAGCCAAGTTACATAGAGCCAAGTTACATAGAGCCAAGTTACATAGAGCCAAGTTAGAGCCAAGTTACATAGAGCCAAGGTTAGGTAGAGCTTAGAGCTTCGGCGTTAGCAGCTATGTAAGTTAGTTTAGGTTTCTAAGGCGCCGGGGCGGGAGTTTGATCGTCGCTCGGGATTGCGACCCTCTGCGGAGATTCGCGTGGTCGAGGTCAAAAAACTGAGGACTTTTTACGATTTCTGCGGCCGCGCGCGACCCTCTGCGGAGATTCGCGTGGTCGAGGTTCAAAAACTGAGGACTTTTTACGATTTCTGCTGGCCGCGCGCGACCCTCTGCGGAGATTCGCGTGGTCGAGGTTCAAAAACTGAGGACTTTTTACGATTTCTGCATGGCCGCGCGCGACCCTCTGCGGAGATTCGCGTGGTCGAGGTTCAAAAAACTGAGGACTTTTTACGATTTCTGCATGCGCGCGCGACCCTCTGCGGAGATTCGCGTGGTCGAGGTTCAAAAACTGAGGACTTTTACGATACTTTTTACGATTTCTGCATGCGCGCGCGACCCTCTGCGGAGATTCGCGTGGTCGAGGTTCAAAAACTGAGGACTTTTTACGATTTTTAGCATGCGCGCGCGACCCTCTGCGGAGATTCGCGTGGTTGAGGTTCAAAACCTGAGGACTTTTTACGATTTTTAGCATGCGCGCGCGACCCTCTGCGGAGATTCGCGTGGTCGAGGTTCAAAAACTGAGGACTTTTTACGATTTTTAGCATGCGCGCGCGACCCTCTGCGGAGATTCGCGTGGTTGAGGTTCAAAACCTGAGGACTTTTTACGATTTTTAGCATGCGCGCGCGACCCTCTGCGGAGATTCGCGTGGTCGAGGTTCAAAAACTGAGGACTTTTTACGATTTCTGCGGCGCGCGCGCGACCGCTCTCGCTGTGGCGCCGTGCGAATTTGTCTTAGTCTCGGCGAACTCTCTGCGGAGATTGTGCGTGTCAAAGCGCTCTCGCTGTGTCGCCGTGCAATATTCTTGCTCGCGAAACGGCCTTTGGAAGTCGTCTCGTGGTTTGCGCGCCTGCTTTCGCAATCCCGCGGTCGCGGGTTCGATTCCCCCCTGGTCCGCGGCAGCTCCGGCTTGAAAATCGCAGCTTTTAAGTACAAACGTAGTACGCGGAGCGTGCTCCTGCAGCTCCGGCTGGAAAATCGTAACTTTTAAGTACAGACGTAGTGTGCGGAGCGTGCTCCCGCAGCTCAGGCTGGAAAATCGCAACTTTTAAGTGCAAACGTAGTACGCGGAGCACACCCCCGCAGCTGCTTGAAAATCGCAACTTTTAAGTACAAACGTAGTACGCGGAGCGTGCTCCTGCAGCTCCGTGAAAAGCTCAATCGTGGAAAAAGTTTTTAAGTGTAGTGTGCGTGCTCCCGCAGCTCAACGCGCTCGTAACCGGCAGCTCCAGCTTGAAAATCGCAACTTTTAAGTACAAACGTAGCACGCGGAGCGTGCTCCTGCAGCTCCGAATGGAAAATCGCAATTTTTAAGTACAGACGTAGTATGCGGAGCGTGCTCCCGCAGCTCAGGCTGGAGAATCGCAACTTTTAAGTACAAACGTAGTACGCGGAGCACACCCCCGCAGCTCCGGCAGCACTTGCGCAGAGCAACTTGCGCAGAGTCACTTGCGCAGAGCAACTTGCGCAGAGCAACTTGCACAGAGCAATTGCACAAAGCACTTGCGCAGAGCAACTTGCACAGACCAACTTGCACAGAGCACATGCGCAAAGCGCTTGCACGGAGCAACTGGCGCAGAGCCCTTGCGCAGAGCAACTTGCTCAGAGCACTTGCGCAGAGCAACTTGCACAGAGCAGGCGCAGAGCAACTTGCACAGACCAACTTGCGCAGAGCACATGCGCAAAGCGCTTGCGCGGAGCAACTGGCGCAGAGCACTTGCGCAGAGCAACTTGCTCAGAGCACTTGCGCAGAGCAACTTGCACAGAGCACTTGCGCGCAGCAGCTTGCAGAGAGCAACTTGCGCGCAGCAGCCTGGAACAATGCAGCTTGCGCAGACCACTTTCGTGAGAAATCGCGCGGCGCAGTTCGAGAGGAAAGTAGGATGATGAGATGGAGCTCTCATGTGACCATACACACTGAGCATCGCCGCGCGCAGACACGCTCGCCGCAGCGATGTTAAAAGGTGTCCCCACAGCTGGATGAGCACCTGTGGAAAAATGCTTTCGGGCCAATCGTCCTCTAGTTTCTCGTTTGGTGGCGTTCGAAAGGAAAAGCAAAAGGAAAACCACAAATTTTGTTGGGGAGCCGCAGTGAAAACCAGGTAGATGAAGGTTGAGGGAGAATTTCCAGCAATGGGTGCCTTCGCCGGCTTGTGAATTCTTGAAGCATGGTTCTGGGTCCCGACCATTTTGTGAGGCATGAAACGGCTTGGATCCTCGATTGGTTGGAGCCAGGCCTTGGCTTTGCTAGAGGAGGCGGAGAGGGGCAGCTTCACCAACGTGGTCACCTACAGTGCTGCAGTGAGCGCCTGTGAGAAGGCCGGGATCTCTTTTTGGGAATCATGGGTCATGATGTTTCTCTCCAACAGTATACCCTCCCGCCACAAGGCCCTGGGAGGGTCTGAAAGATCACACTTCTGTTGCAGGGACGCCGAGTCAGGTGCCAGGTTAGTGGGAGGGAGGGTCTTGTATATTTTAGCCGCATGTTGGATATGACATCCCGTGCTTGGAACCTGGAAGGCGCCCTGAGGATTCAAGTCGCGTGTTGCTTTTCCGGTTCAGGCCACCGAGTGGCAACTCGCGCTGCAGCTGCTGGCGAGGGCTGTAGATCGGCGCCTCTGCAACGTGGTGATCTACAACGCCGCCATCAGCGCGTGCGAGAAGGCTGCGCAGTGGAGACACGCTTTCGCTCTCCTGGGGCAGCTGACAGCTCAGAAGCTGCAGCCAAGTCTGGTGACTTGCAACGCGGCGGTGAGTGCATGTGAGAAAGCTGGGCAGTGGAGCCAGGTGCTGAATCTGCTGAAGTTGCTGGCAGATCTTCCACTACAGCCTGACCTTATCACCTTTAATGCCGCCATCAGCGCCTGTGCAGTTTGCGCTCGCTGGCAGGAGGCTTTGCTGCTACTGCAACAGGCCCCGTCGCCTGATGTCAGCACCTACGCGGCCCTGGTCAACGCCTGCATGCAGGGAGCTGCCTTTGCTTGGTTGGCCTCAGGGCTCGGCCACATCGCCGCGCTGGCACCGGGGGAAATGGGGAAAAACATAACATGAAATCGGTTGCGAGGCCCAGTGGTCAGTGGCGGTGAGGGTTTCATTTGCCAGGGCCTCCATGCTGGCGGTGGCTTTCCACATGGAGGCGGAGGACACCAAGCTGCTCTTGGAGCTTTTCCGTGGGTCCGGGGCTCAGGGGAACAAGTCTAAGGGTTGATTCCCCATTCTTTCGTCACACGCGCACTCAGTGCAACGATCGGTCTTTCCAGCCGGTTTCGGCTCAGTTTTAGATTTTTTTCTGTTTTCAGGGGCATCGTTCTTTCCCTACAACCATCGTTCTTTCACCAGGGCCATCGTTCTTTCCCCAACCATCGTTCTTTCCCTAACCATCGTTCTTTCCCCACAACCATCATTATTTCCCTTCTTTCCCCACCCCATCATTCTGTCCCCCAGCATCGTTCTTTCAATCAAAGGTCAGTGTGTCTCTGTTATTTTTCCGTTTTTGCATCTGTTTTGGGTGAAAATTGGAAAACCAGAAAGAATGGGGAAGTATTGTATGAGGCCATATTGTCGGTTAAAACCCATTCTTTCCAAGCATCCTTTTTTGTAGGATTTCCGGTCTTTCCTCCCGAAAGTGATGACAACTGCTGCGTGGGCTGCTGCGTGGGCCCCCATTGAAAGAATGAGGAAGTGAATTGGAAGCTTGTGGAAAATTGGCTCGCGGGCACCACTTTGGTGGGTTGGCTGATGAGGGGCCCGCGGTGCCATCAGGAGGATGCTTCAATGCTTGCCGTGAAGCCACGGGCTTTATGTTTGTCAGTGTCGCCTTGGCAATGATTCATGACATGGATGTGGGCAAAACAACAAGGGCAAGGCTGACCGCCCCTGCTTGGGAGAGGCCTGGTGGGCTGCTGGGAGTCGGCAAAGGGAGAGAATGGGAACAGTTGAGTTTTAGCCTTGCTTGGGTAGACTGCTTCGATGGCAATTGTTGTTGCATCCATTTTGGGGGATAATTGGGTTAGCTCTTCAGAATGGGGTGGTGTGGCTTAGAACAATCCGCTTCCCGTGGTTAGACTGCTTCCTTACAGGGGATCCAGGATCCATGCAGGTGAGACATTGCAATGGGTGTTTTTTTTTTCTTCCCCCCCTTCCCCGAAGCTCAGTGATCGAAACAAAAGTCGAGGTCACAGATTGTAGGTTAGTCACTGCAATGCATGATGCAAAGTCCGAAGGCTGGATCTCAATGGGGATGGACTGCTCACCACCGACGAGTTTTCCACCGGGGTCTGCCGAGCCTGCTTGCCACATGTGCCACGGACCAGAAGATCAAAGCCGAGGTCCAAAGGTTTCCACATCAAGACTCAAGACCAAAGTGTCGCGCGTCAGGACAAGAACATTCAAGCACACACTCCTTCGCAACCAAAACACGCTTCCGTGCCTGGCCAGACCGCACCGAACACCAGGGTCCTGACTGTGTTTGTTCCTGCCAGTCTCACCAACAAAAATTGAAGGCCAACATCAGCTTGACTCGATGCTTTCGCCAGGTGAGGTCCATGGGTGTGGATCCTGAGCTGCTGCGGAAGATGGTGCACTGCGCATCTTGGATGAAGAGTCAGATGCCCCTCCATGGACATAGGGCTTGACAAGAGGCCGCGCATGAGATGTACTGCAGGTTATATGAGTGGAAGCGGTTGCCAGGCAGTGCTTGCAGAAGAGCATTTAAAAGGTGTGTGTTGGCGAAAAAGACACTCGGGATACCAGACACAGCAAATGCGAGAGGAGCAAAGATCGGAATGCAGGGCAGGTTTCTAGGTTGGCACGATTTCATTGACGGGCTCAGTTGGACGCCGACCACTCTGGTGTCATCGACTACACGGAGTTTCTTGCCCAGGCCCTGGTTCGCTTGACGAGGCTTTTGGCCGTGCCAGCTTTGGGCACGACTCTTCATGCCCAAGGGAATTTGGCAGACGAAGCAGTTCACAGTCCATTCTGACTCTGAGGTTGGTGTCCACCATGTTTGATTTGACTGTGGGTCATGCCATTTTGTGGTTTTCGGTGCACCACCCATTTTAGAACCTATTTTAGTGGGGATTGGGATGTTCACTGGGGGTACGATTTGGATTTTGACCCATGGCCAATTTGCCCCTGGAGCCACGGAGCCTACAGAGACCTGGGCGTTCAAAGGGGGAGCCCAAAGTGTGCTGAGGCCGCCACACTGGAGCCAGGACCCAAGAGCGACGCCTTGCTTCCGATGTGCGCGGCATACATCCGCCTTGCAATGAATGGGTTGGAACGTCCAACAGCCTCTTCCAATGGCTTTTGAGCCTTGTTGTTTTTTGCGTAATGGGTCGTCCGTACTGGAGCGGTCGACCTTCCTTTGCTTCGGACCTCGCTTCACCTCTGATCGGGCGGTTTCTACTTGAAAGATCCTGCAGCTGACCTTTCCGCCCCGGACATTTTTTTGCTTTGCCATCCATTCGGACAGAGCGAGGGCCTACATGTTCATCGACAATCACGGCGTCATGCTGCGAGCTTTTAGCGAGGCCCTCAACTGAAGTGGCTGTACAACTTGGTCTCATTTGGTCTCCTTGGATCATTGAGAGACAGGACCCCGGCCCAGAAAGGTTTTCAGACTGAGCAACCCCGAAGGAGCCAAAGGGGCCTCTGGCGGGTTCCCGCTTCAACTTGCTCCCAAGAGCTCTGACTGCATCCCGTGTAGGAAGCTTCGATCAAGATGACAGTGGAGGACTCACCGCGGAAGAGGCCACACCGAAGTTCTCGTGAAAGGCAGTGCTCAAATTGTGAGATCATGTTGCAAGAAGCACTGCCGAACTTGAGACTTGGCGGAGTGTAGGGTACTGTAGCTAAGGCTTGCAGTGACACATGGACTTGAGACTACTCACAGCCCCGTATCATTTGCCCACCATGCAGAGTTTCCGACTCAGAGCATTGTTCCGCAGCTTTGTCGTCTTACCACCATCCTAGGCATCACGTACTCTTTTGTTGTGATCTTGCAAAGTAGGGAGATGCCTCGCTTGCATTTGCTGGTGACGCTCTTTGAAGTAGAGCGATCCTGACCGGCACCAGAGGTTGCCGAGACCATCGACATGGTTTCCCCTGATCAGTTCATGGAGATGCAGCGCATCTTTGAAGAGGCCGCACTGGTGTCCCCATATTCCCCTTTTGGGTGCTTGAACTGCTTTCACCTTTTGGACTGATGCTGATTGAGCTTCCAATGGGGCGATGCTTAAACGGGAAATTTAGGGCACCTGTGGTGCGCACGCTCTCTGTCTCTTCTGTCCGGAGTGACAAGGGTAACTGTTGATTGAAGCATGGTTGAGCCTAGGGATGGGCGCTTGGCTTCTTGGGGGCGTTTGACAACTTGGCAGAGAGTGCTTGTTGCAAAGGCAAAGGCATCCTGGGCCTTTTTAGACCAAGAGCCACTTGAGTGTCATTTTTCCATGTGCGGTAAAGCGACAGCGAAGGCAAGCTCTGCCCATCGCCTGAATTGCTGTGAGGTGGATGTTAACGGCGATGGCCCGGGGCTTCGGTTCAGAGAGCCTATCAGATGGTCGCTTTTTCAAGTCGAAACAGCACCAACCAGCATGGAACGGGGAGTCCGGGGAGTGCTTTGGATCATTTTCCTTTGAAGGGACCCTTTGTCAGGCATGTTGATTAGTGGGGTAAAGCGAGGGGCCCAGTGGGTCTGGGAATATGGGCGAAGGTCGCTCCATTCTCCTGGCTAACGAGGTGTCATGGATTACGCGGAGCCGCGCGCTCGGTGCAAAGTTGAGTGTTTAGCCTTCCCCCATTTTTCCACTGGGTATCACCTCAGCAAGAATGCTACTTTGCACGGGCCAGATGCTTTTGAGTCACAAGGGACCATTCTTGGAGCCCAGCTTGAAATCCACTTGGCGTCTTGAAACAGCAAGTGCCCTGTGAGAGGTCATGTTTTTGAGGAGTCACCTCGTGCATACAGGAACCGAGCGCCATGAGTGTGTGATGTGAGTCTGTCAAAAGATTCAACGTCCGCCTTCCCATGGATTTCCCGGTTGTTCCCGTTGTTGTCTTCCTGGTTTCCTTGGGGCTGGGACTCTGAGCACAAAGCTTTTGCCAGGTTCTACCGCATGTTAAAGGCTGATCTGAAGGCCGGCATGGGGATGTTTGCACTCTCAACGGCCTGAAGCTTCGCCTTCATTTTTGTGAGAGGGGCTCCTGGGCTTTGGGAATGATCGACGCTCGCTGGGCTCCGATTTGCGCATGCTTGATTCGCGGACCGCGTAAAACAGCCAATCGGCCGAGCCTGCAAATAGACTGCTAAGAGGGAAGGCCCATGTTGGCATTGGCGCATTGCTTGGTTGCCATTGCTTGTCAACCTTGAGCTGGCCTTTGGATGGCGATGGCTGTACGGTCATAGCTGAGAAGAGACAGACCTTGGGAGCCAAGAAACATGTTGGAGCCGAGCTTTCTGGAGGCTGGAACGAGGGGAATTTATACTGGACAACCCTGTTCGAGGATGTTCCTCATCCGGTGATTGCCTCAGTCGTCCAATTCTGCTTGCTTGAGTTGTGATCTGCTCGCGATCTCGCTGTCTGTTGCAACATCGGGCCGTGGCTCCATATGGATTCTGATGCTGTTGGCTTGAAGCAAGGCACGCCGAAGCTTGGCGCTCCTCGTGAGGGGGAGCAGTCTTTTTCGGCTCTTTCTAAGTCAGGTCGACTTCCAAGGGCTGGATATCTGTCCCCGCTCTACGTTGCGCCTTGGATGTGTGTTCAGGGAAAGCTTATGTCTTGCCGGATGAAATTGCCCTACCCAACGGAGCCGCAGCACGGAACAGCGGCGTCCTTCACACCGCTGGCCGGGTGTGGGGCATGCAGTCGAGGGGGTCTTTGGCCAACCCACCCTGTGCTGGGTGGATGACAGTGGGACACATGCGCTAATGTGCTCACTGGGCTCCGATTTGCGCATGCTTGATTCGCGGACCGCGTAAAACAGCCAATCGGCCGAGCCTGCAAATAGACTGCTAAGAGGGAAGGCCCTTGTTGGCATTGGCGCATTGCTTGGTTGCCATTGCTTGTCAACCTTGAGCTGGCCTTTGGATGGCGATGGCTGTACGGTCATAGCTGAGAAGAGACAGACCTTGGGAGCCAAGAAACATGTTGGAGCCGAGCTTTCTGGAGGCTGGAACGAGTGGAATTTATACTGGACAACCCTGTTCGAGGATGTTCCTCATCCGGTGATTGCCTCAGTCGTCTAATTCTGCTTGCTTGAGTTGTGATCTGCTCGCGATCTCGCTGTCTGTTGCAACATCGGGCCGTGGCTCCATATGGATTCTGATGCTGTTGGCTTGAAGCAAGGCACGCCGAAGCTTGGCGCTCCTCATGAGGGGGAGCAGTGTTTTTCGGCTCTTTCTAAGTCAGGTTGACTTCCAAGGGCTGGATATCTGTCCCCGCTCTACGTTGCGCCTTGGATGTGTGTTCAGGGAAAGCTTATGTCTTGCCGGATGAAATTGCCCTACCCAACAGAGCCGCAGCACGGAACAGCGGCGTCCTTCACACCGCTGGCCGGGTGTGGGGCATGCAGTCGAGGGGGTCTTTGGCCAACCCACCCTGTGCTGGGTGGATGACAGTGGGACACATGCGCTAATGTGCTCACTGGGCTCCGATTTGCGCATGCTTGATTCGCGGACCGCGTAAAACAGCCAATCGGCCGAGCCTGCAAATAGACTGCTAAGAGGGAAGGCCCATGTTGGCATTGGCGCATTGCTTGGTTGCCATTGCTTGTCAACCTTGAGCTGGCCTTTGGATGACGATGGCTGTACGGTCATAGCTGAGAAGAGACAGACCTTGGGAGCCAAGAAACATGTTGGAGCCGAGCTTTCTGGAGGCTGGAACGAGTGGAGTTTATACTGGACAACCCTGTTCGAGGATGTTCCTCATCCGGTGATTGCCTCAGTCGTCTAATTCTGCTTGCTTGAGTTTTGATCTGCTCGCGATCTCGCTGTCTGTTGCAACATCGGGCCGTGGCTCCATATGGATTCTGATGCTGTTGGCTTGAAGCAAGGCACGCCGAAGCTTGGCGCTCCTCATGAGGGGGAGCAGTTTTGTTCGGCTCTTTCTAGATTCGAGGTAATATCTAAGTCAGGTTGACTTCCAAGGCCTGGATATTTGTCCCCGCTCTACAATCGTGTTGCGAATTGGATGTGTGTTCATGGGAAGGGTTATGTCTTGCCGGATGAAATTGCCCTACCCAACGGAGCCGCAGCAAGGAACAGCGGCGTCCTTTACACCGCTGGCCGGGTGTGGGGCATGCAGTCGAGGGGTCTTTGGCCAACCCACCCTGTGCTGGGTGGATGACAGTGGGACACATGCGCTAATGTGCTCACCGGGCTCCGATTTGCGCATGCTTGATTCGCGGACCGCGTAAAACAGCCAATCGGCCGAGCCTGCAAATAGACTGCTAAGAGGGAAGGCCCATGTTGGCATTGGCGCATTGCTTGGTTGCCATTGCTTGTCAACCTTGAGCTGGCCTTTGGATGGCGATGGCTGTACGGTCATAGCTGAGAAGAGACAGACCTTGGGAGCCAAGAAACATGTTGGAGCCGAGCTTTCTGGAGGCTGGAACGAGTGGAATTTATACTGGACAACCCTGTTCGAGGATGTTCCTCATCCGGTGATTGCCTCAGTCGAGTTGTGATCTGCTCGCGATCTCGCTGTCTGTTGCAACATCGGGCCGTGGCTCCATATGGATTCTGATGCTGTTGGCTTGAAGCAAGGCACGCCGAAGCTTGGCGCTCCTCATGAGGGGGAGCAGTTTTGTTCGGCTCTTTCTAGATTCGAGGTAATATCTAAGTCAGGTTGACTTCCAAGGCCTGGATATTTGTCCCCGCTCTACAAGCGTGTTGCGACTTGGATGTGTGTTCATGGGAAGGCTTATGTCTTGCCGGATGAAATTGCCCTACCCAACGGAGCCGCAGCACGGAACAGCGGCGTCCTTCACACCGCTGGCCGGGTGTGGGGCATGCAGTCGAGGGGGTCTTTGGCCAACCCACCCTGTGCTGGGTGGATGACAGTGGGACACATGCGCTAATGTGCTCACTGGGCTCCGATTTGCGAATGCTTGATTCGCGGACCGCGTACAACAGCCAATCGGCCGAGCCTGCAAATAGACTGCTAAGAGGGAAGGCCCATGTTGGCTTTGGAGCATTGCTTGGTTGCAATTGCTTGTCAACCTTGAGCTGGCCTTTTGATGGCGACGGTTGTACGGTCAGAACCGTCAGAAGAGTCAGAGCTGAGATTACGAGCAGAATTCAACTGAAGCGAAGCCGTTTGCCGAGAGGCAACCAGGTTTTGGTTCCCGTCAGGTCACCAAACCCGAGACCAAAGAGGTCGACGAAGATGCGCGGCTCTCGATTGCCAAGCGCTGCTTGGGGCGCGTCGTTTGGCCTTTGTGAGCGGTTTGGCCTTGAATACCTTGCTAGGCACAGTTTCTGAGCGGTGTTGGACCACAGGGGGGGTTGCATGGGTCGATCTTTTGTTGGGGGCCCAAGGCAGCAATGTGGAGGGTTGCGGCCTGTTGTGGAGCCCCGCCGCGATGTAGCTTTATGTCAATTCTTTTGAGCTCTCGGTTTTGGCCTCCTACCCAGGAGAGCTACGAAAGCGAATCGGCCAGTGAGGCGGGTGTAATTGGGGCGTTTGGGGGGAGTGGCTGATCAACGTCCTCCCCTGGGCTGTAGTAAAAGGGATGATAGGACATTTCGACTCACCAAATCACCGCTAGAATCCGTTGTGCCAGGTGGAAAGAACCTCATGTTTTCTTGTCTCACTACAACAGCTCTGGAGAACACTGGCCCTGACAGACACTACAAAAACAAAGCAAGGACAAGGTCTTATTGGGGACTTCCCGTCCGACTAGAGCCCTGTGTGACACTATAATTTGTGCCTGATGCACATGTCGATTTTGTGAGAATCTGCAGTACTCTTCACCTCCCGTCGTCAGCGTGCCAAGCTACCCCACTCGAAGACTTTTTCAACGCCTTGATGCAAGTTTGCCAAGGGCGGCATGAGCGATCATAGCCCCCGACACTCACCGACATGCCGCCTTTGGGGTGAAGTCGCTGGGATGCTGCCTGCATATCACGGCCTGATCGCGACAAGTTTGCCACGGTGAGAGCACCAACAATCCGCTGCGACAGATCTCACACCTGCACGAGGCGCCCGGCTTTGCAGGGCGCGCTGCGGAGCCGCGCTGGCTGCGAGAGCGGGCCACCGACCCCGGGCTCACGCCCCGCGGCATGAAGGAAGAGCAGCTTGCCGGCTCGCTGAGGCAGTTTCGCCATGCGTGCAATCTGTCGCCTTAGCCTGCGCAAACAGACAGCGGTGCCGCTGGACACGGCGCTGGCGAGTGCTGCGGTTGCGCACTCAGAGATCTTCGATGTTGGGGGCGTCTACACGCAGCACAACTGGCGCCGGTCGGGCCTGGCCAGTGCCTCTCTGCGGAGATCGTATGGCGTTTCCCAGGCCTCGATGTTGGGCGCACTCCCGAAGCGAGGGCCCTGGCACAGCGGCGGAAGTGCAGGTGCCTGGTGCAGTGGCTGCGCACCCAAGGATCCATGGTGATGCCCATTTGATCGACCTGTTGAAAGCCTTATCGCGGACGCGGACCAGGACGTCAATGTCATGGACCGCGCCGTGGCCTTCTCCCCCTCCAACTGCGGCGCCAGCTGAGCCTTCATGACGGCAAGGTGATTCTTTCACATCGCCAAGCTCTGAACACGGAATACCAAGTGCGGTGCTGGTCCGATGCCACTATTCAAAAGCAGATCGAGGTTGCTTCCGTGTCAATCAATTAGGGGGAGTAGCAGCGGAACGTGTGTCAAGCAATAGCGAACAGCAGCCCTGCCCTTCGACTGCCAGGACCTGTCGCCCAAGGCCAGCGGGGGATGGCCGGAGGGGAAGTCAGAGGTGTAAAAGCCACCCTACACGAACCTAATACAAGTCAATTGCAAGAAGTACCCACCCGAATCTGACGCGTCTTTTGTTTGTGTTCAGGCATCTTCTGCAGGTTCAAAGAGTTCTCAGTTGAGCCGGTCTTTGCTTTGCCACTGAGCTGAGAGCGGTGAACGGTGTTATGAGTTGGACTCAGGCACCCAAGAGGCTGATGCCGAATTCCGAAAGGAAGGCCTTTATCGGCTGGTTGAACAGAACCGCACTGGGCGTCAACCCTACAACCCTAGCGGATGCGGACCTAGCTCCTCAAACACATCCAGTACAGAAACTATGGGCGATCGATTCTTAAAGCGCCAGCCACACTTTGCAGCTTGCAGACCAGACGAATTCTTCAGACACAGCCGAGGCTGTGAAGTTCGGCGACGAGGGCGACGACCTGGATGAGGAGGAGGAGGAGGAGGAGGAGGAGGCGGAGGAGGAGGCTGGTGAAGGCGGGACCAGGGGTGAGGCTTGACGCGTTTTTTTTGACAGCATCAGCAATGGGCGTGTGTTGGCATGGCCAAGATGTGGGGAAACTTCCCCCACATGAGTCTACACTACACGTAATCAGGTATACAGGTGTCTGCTACATTTCCGACGTGCACCAAGGGACTCTGCTGGGAAATGAAATGACATTGGGCGTAACCTATGGCTCCATTTTGGGTTGGATGAACATCCATTTGCCACCCAGGGGTATAGGGTTTTGACCCACCGCCAAATGTTTGTGTCCGGGTCAGGCCATTCCGAGAGGCGAAGGCCCCAGAGGGAAAGCGCTTGAAGTGAGCGACTCGTGGGATCAGCCTCCGCCCCCCCCTCCTTTGCTGGGCCTTCCTTGAAGTGATTCCTGATGGTTACCTGCTAAACACAAACGAAGAAGGGGTCCCCGAATGTAGACACGCCCCCTTTTTGGGCTCCGCTAGGTCTTCTTCTGCAGAGCATCATCGAGTTGCTTCCCTGTTCGGGCTCTGCAGACTGAGGTCGGGCTCTGCCAGTGAGGCAGCCGCAAGCCAGGACGACCGTGTAGCCTGGGGGCCGAATTTGTTTTACGGGACTGGAAGAACAAGCGCTGCGAGGGGCCCAACAAAAAAGGTTATGCCAGAGGGGCCACGAGTTGATAGTGTTAGAGGGGTAAAAGGAGAGTGCGTAGAACAGGGCCCTGTGCGAGACAGGATGAAGTGTTGAAGAGCCCACACCAGGGGTTTCGCTGCATGCTGTGTCAGGTGTGTGCATGCAAGCAAGCTCAAACTGCAGACCACGTAGGCACTTGGAACAAACAGCTCAGACGACCTGGGCGGATGTAGGGACTTTCATTTTACGCCAACATGCGTATCGTGGAGGTTTTTTTTAGCATTGCAATGCGGCGCCGTGTGTTTCATCCTCTTTGCTTTCCGAAGCAACGACAAACACGTTAAAAGCTTTTCGCTTTTTGGACTGTTGCCTTGCGGCAGGACAGCCCCTGAGATTTCGCGCTTCAGTTTCACATGTACATATACTCGCATTACTCGCGGAGCATGTCCAGATCTGGTGGCTTCCAAAGAGCCGAGGCTTCAGGTGACGAATTCAGCAGCGCCCAAGAAGCGGAATTCGGGGTTCTGTCTTTCAGTCGTGGGTCACCACTTGTCCAAAACCTTGAAAGGGCAGGACCAATCATCAGGTCTTGGGCGCTGCTAAATCGCTGTGGATTGGTGAGCAAGTCAGAGAGCCGTTTGACCGCGAAAATACACGCCTGGACCTGAATGGCTTGCGCCAGGAAGAAGGGCCGGGGAGTTTGGCAAGAGGGGCAAGCTGTGGATCAACGAGAGCGGTGTCACCTGAGTTCTGAGTTCTGAGGTTTTATCTCCCATGTCTCTGGGCTCAGACAGTGGAATCCAAAGGCCATGAGTCAAGTGATCAAGTACAACCAGGCGATCACTGAGTGCAAGAAGCAGCGGCAGTGGCAGCAAGCCTTGGTTCTTCTGGGGGAAGCTGAATGCAAGCGCCTGGCGAATGTCGTCACCTTCAACGCCGCGATCAGTGCCTGCGAAAAGGCCAGCGAGTGGTGGTCTGCCCTCAGATTGCTTGGCAGCCTGGAAGAGAAGCAGCTGCAGCCCGACATCGTGACCTACAGCACTGAGATCAGTGCTTGTCAGAAAGCAGGCAGGTGGCAGCAAGCCTTGCGCATCTTGAAGACCCTTTCACCGAGACACTTGCAGCCAAATGTCATCACCTACAGCTCTGCTATAAGTGCTTGCGGGCGAGCCACCGCGTGGCAGCACAGTCTGCGACTCCTGGAGGAGCTGCAAGCAATCCACTTGGTGCCAAACATCATCACTTTCAGCTCAACCACCAGCGCATGTGCGGAAGCATCGCAGTGGCAGAAGGCGGTCTATTTGCTTGAACAACTAGACACGAAAAGCTTGCAAGCCAATGCGATCACATACTGCGCCGTCATTGATGCTTGTGGGCATTCGCACCAGTGGCAGCTGGCTGTGCACTTGATAAGTGAAGCTCGGGACCAAAGGGAAGCCAATCTGAAGTCTTGCAATGCAGCCTTGAGTGCCTGCGGGCGAGCAGCAGTATGGCAGCAAGCTTTAAGATTGCTCACAGACTCGACAAGCCCAGATGTGATTACCTTCAGTGCGGCTGTTACCGCCTGTGAAAGGGCTTCCATGTGGCTGCAAGCTCTGAGATTGGTGTGGGAATCTGAGAGTCAGCGCGTGGCCCCGGATGCTGTGCTGTACAATGCGGCTCTCAATGCGTGTGCGAAGACCGTGCAATGGCAGAGGGGAGTTGCCTTGCTCATGGGAGTCAGATATTGGATGAGTGGGGAGTGGACGACATGCTGTGGGGCGATCGTCGCGTGCGAGAAGGCTGGGCACTGGCAGCGGGCCATAGACGTCTTTTTGGACATGGGCTGCATGCGTCTGAAGCTGGACGTCTTCAGCTGCAATGCGGCCGTGGCGGCCGCAGACTGGCTCACTGCGCTGCAGCTGCTGAACTCGAAGAGCTTTGGTTTTGGATTGCGACGGGACGGGGTGAGCTACAACTCGGCTCTGCGGGGCTGCGAGTGGCGCCTGGGCCTTGGGCTCCTGCGACACCTGGCGCTGAGGTGTCTGGAGACGGAGGCCATCGCCCTCAGCGCGGCGGCGGGCGCGGGTCATCGGGCGGAGGCCCGGGGTGCCTGGCGCCACGCCCTGGGCCTCGGCGATGGAGCGGACGCGGTGCGCAGCTGGCAGCGGTGGCAGCCGGCAATGGCGTGCGTGGAAGCGATGGCCCAGCAGCGCCTCAGCAACGTCGTGGCCTGCAACGCGGCTTTGAGTCTTTGTGAATGGCGCCGGGGCTTGCTCTTGTTGGAGGCCTTGGTCACTGCCAGGGTGGCCACGGTGGTTTCCTACAACGCTGCCATGGGCGCCTGTGAGAGGGCCGCCTTGTGGGAGCTCTCCCTGCTGCTCCTGTCGCAGACAACGGCCAGCATCGTTAGCTTCAACACGGCCATCAGTGCCTGTGAGAAGGCCTCTGCATGGCAACAGGCAGGTTCTCCCAGAAAAATGAAGTGGGACCCCAAAAAACGTTTCTCATAAAATACTTGTTTGAATCCCCCCCCAAAAACATGTTGGGGTTTCTTTCGGTTTTAAGCGAAAAACCGGGGCTCCTCGAGGCCCTGCACTTGCTCCACTGGCTGGAAGAAGCGTCTCGGCCGAGCGTCGTGAGCTACAACTCGGCGATCAGCGCCTGCGAGAAGGTCGGGGAGTGGCAGAGGGCGCTGCAGTTGCTGCGCCGCTGCCAGGAGCTGCGAGTGGGGCCGGATGTCATCACCTGCAACGCCGCGATGAGCGCCTGTGAGACATCCGGGCGATGGCAAGAAGCCTTGCTGCTGCTGCAAAGAGCTGCTGCCATGGGCTTGGAGCACACCATTGTCACCTACAATGCTGCCATGAGCGCCTGTGCAACCGCCGGCGTTTGGCAATTGGCTTTGCAGACCCTGGGAGAGCTCCGCCTTTTGCGCCTGCGGCCTACTCTCATTACCTACAATGCGGCCATCAGCTCTGCTGCAAAAGCTCAGAAATGGCAGCAGGCAATGCTGCTTGTGAGTGAGGTTGTGCAGAGCGGCTTGCAAGCAACGGTCGCCACTTGCGCCGTGATTGTCGGTGCTTGCATCAAGTCTACGTGCCTGCAATTCGCAGTTGGCTTCCTCCAATCAGTGGATGTGATGGCAATCAGTGCTGCTGAGACTGCATGCATTTTGGGGCCAGAACAAAGATGCAGCAGCAAAATTGGAGTTTCTATGCAAGCGGCCGTGAAATTGCACAGTTTTTGACTCCCTGATCATTGAGGAATCGTGTTGAGCTACTCTAGCGAAGATGCCAAACACTTCCATGAGCTTCAATGTATTGCGTGTGTGCGGGCACGTTACGTGGCAGTGACAACTATGCAACGTTTTGCCTGCACCTGCCTACATCATGTGCTTCAGCGACATTTTTGCTCCTCATTGCGGTTTTGCTCCTCCCAACAACGGGGAACCTGTAATCTTGGATGAATTCCCTCTTTTGCGAAACAGATACAGAATGTCCCTCAAGCGAATCTGCAGGACTGGAAGAGTTTTGAGCAATACGACTGTAGAATTGGACAATGCTACTTTAGAATCGGGCAATGTGGGGTGTATCCTTGTGATTGTTAAATCGCCACTTTGTAGAGACAAATTATGTAATCTACTTGCACTTAACTCGCAACCGGGGGCTCAACTCAGTCATGCGAACAGCCACTGGTTGCTGCCTGCACCCAAGCCTGCCACGGCTGATGAAAGATGTCAGCTGTGGAACACACCCAGGCGATTGTGGATTGTAGAGGCAGGCGGCAATGGCAACATGCCCTTGTACTTCTGCGCAAGCTGGGCACACACCTGGAGCCGAGCGTAGTGGCCTTCAATGCCAGCATCAGCGTCTGTGAGGCTGCGGGCCAGTGGCCGCAGACGGTGCTGCTGCTCGCGGCCTGCGAGGCTGACGTCATCACCTGGAACTCGGCCATCAGCGCGTGTGGGAAATCTGCCGCCTGGCAGCAGGCGCTGCAGCTGCTGAAAAACGCCGCAGAGGAGGCAGACGTCATCAGTTTCAACACGGCGGTGAGTGCTTGTGGCAGGGCAGCTAGATGGCAGCATGCCCTTGAGCTCTTTAATGGCATTGATCCGCGCCTAGAGCTGGACGTCGTCAGCTTTAGCGCGGTGATTTCTGCTTTGGAAAGAGCTGCCCAGTGGCAACGGGCCTTGATTTGCATGGAAAGGATGGGCCATGCGCGTGTGCAAGCGAATGTGATCACCTATGGTGCAGCCATGAGCGCCTGCGCGAAAGCGGCGGAGTGGCAGCACGCCTTGCACCTTTTGTCCAAACTTCAGGTGTCGCGCCTTGAGCCGAATGTCATCGTTTTCAGTGCAGCCGCCAGTGCCTGCCAGGTGCAGTGGCAGTGGGCGTTTCAGCTCCTGCACCGCGCGGCGCGGATCACCGTGGAGCCCAACGTGGTGACCTTCAGCGCTAGCACCAGCGCCGCCATCGGCGCCGCCTGGGCGTGGGCCTTGGCGCTCCTGGCGGCGGCCTCGGCGCGGCACGTGGAGGCCAGCACCGTGACGCTGGCCGCGGCCGTGGGGGCCGCTGAGGCGGGCGGCTGGCAACATGCCGCCGCGGTGTTGGCGGAAGGCGCCGCAAGGCAGCTGGAGCCGGACCTCGTCGCCTGCACTGCTGCCAGCTCCGAGAGCCCGTGGACCAGGGCTGTGGCCTTGTTGGATGGCAGGATGGACTTGGTGGCGGGAAATGCGGCAATAAGCGCCAGTGAGTGGCAGTTGGCCCAAAGACTCTTGCGGGAACTTAGGGCTCTGCGTCCGTGCGCTGTGACCTATGGCGCTGTTATCAGTTCCTGTGCAGACAGATGGCAGGTTTCCCTTCACTGGTTGGACCGAGCTGCAAGCCTCGATGTGATCATGTACAACGCCGCCATCAGCGCATGCCCCTGGCAGAGCGCCTTCGTTTTGCTGCGCCACGTGGGCTTGCAGCCCAATGCCATCTCGTGGAGCGCAGTTGTGGCTGCTTGCCAAAAATCCTCTGCCTGGGAGCAGGCCCTTCTGTTGCTGGATGCGGGAGAGGTCAGCGCGGGGGCTTGCAGTGCAGCCATCAGTGCTTGTGAGGCTGCCTCCCAGTGGCAGCGGGCCATGTTGCTGTTCTCTGCTGCAGAGATGCAGAGGCTTGAGTCTAATCTGATCATTTGCAACGCTGCGCTTTCTGCTTGTCACCGGGGCGCGAGGTGGCAGCGGGCAATCTCTATTTTAAGTGGATTCGAGTCAGGACATCTCCCGGATGCAGTCTCCTTCAGTGCAAGCATCAGCGCTTGCGCAAAAGTTGCAGAGTGGCAGTGTGCTCTTTGCCTTGTCAAGTCTTGCCAAGCCGTCACTGCCGGTGTCTACAATGCTGCCGTCACTGCCTGTGAAAGAGCTTCCAGATGGCAAAGAGTCTTGGAACTTCTGCGTGACATGGACGTCATGCGATTGCAAATGACTGTGGTCACTTGCAATGCCGCGGTTGCTGCTTGCAAGTCTCATTGGCAGCAGATTTTGTTGTTGCTGGCCCGCATGGCTCAAAAGAGTGTGGGGCCAGACGTAACGACCTGCACAGCCACCATCAGCGCATGTGCGCAATCTGCCCACTTGCGACAGGCTGTCCACATGCTTAGTGGAGTTGAGAAGCTTGCGCGACTTCAACCTGGCTGACATCCAAAATCTGCTTGCACGCCTGCGACTCATTTTAGAAAGACTGTGCATTTTAAGCTCGAGACGCAACTGTCAATGTGAGGGGGTCTCAAGGCTCAGTTTCTCAGACTGCTGCGCAGCCATGGTGCTGTTTCTCCAGGCGATGCAGGCTGATCTGCATTGTCTGCCGGAGTGAGCCCAACTCGCGCTTCGTTCAGAAGGACGCCTTTTGGCATTTGCCTGCTCGCACTTCCGCACCTCATGCTCGCAACTCCCTACACCGGGATGTTGCAATGCGCCAGGCTCAGCTTCCTTCGCATCCGGCCGCTTCTCTTGCGGCGCAAACGAGGGCCATACGAAGCTGCCGCACTGAAGAGTGGTCGCGCGCACTGTCGCTGTTTTCGGCCGTGGTCGTGAGCGGTCTGCGGGCAGACGAGATCGCATACAATGCAGCGATCAGCTCTGTCGAGTGGCTGCAAGCCTTGCAGTTGCTGAATCGCCTTGCAGAGAGCGAGCTGCAACGCGATGTAGTGTCCTGGAGCGCCGTGGTGTCGGTTTCAGCAAGAGCTGCAGAGTGGCTGCAGGCGGCGCAGCTCTTGGAAGCCGCACGCTGTCAGACATCTTCCAACATCATCACCTGTAACTCTGCTATGACTGCGCATGAGAAAGCCTCGGAGTGGCAGAGGGCACTGAATCTGCTGACGCTTTGTGAGCTGAAGCATCTTCGGCTAAGCATTGTCAGCTACAGCGCGGCCATCCGCGCATGCGAGAAGTCCGGCTTGTGGCGGCATGCGCTTTTGCTGCTGGACGCGATTGAGGAGAACCGCTTGGAGATGAACGTCATTGCATGCAGCGCCGCAATCAGCGCCTGTGGGCAAGCGGGCAAGTGGCTTGAAGCCTTATTTCTCTTGAGCGCAGCTGAGACGCAAGGCTTGCAGCCGGATGTGGTCCTCTACGGCGCTGGCATCACCGCCTGCGAGCGGGCGGCGGAATGGCAGCGGGCGCTGCTGTTGCTGGAGAGGACGGAGGTGGATGGGCTGCAACTCAGCGTCGTTGCCTTTGGTGCCGCTGTCTCTGCTTGTGCCCGAGCTGCAGAGTGGAGGCATGCGCAGCTTCTGCTGGAGGCCGCTTTGGAGCCCAACTTGGTCATGTTCAATGCTGCCATCAGTGCCTGTGAGCACGAGGAGTGGGAGCAGGCGATGCAACTGCTGCGCCAGCTCGGAGGGCATCGACTTCAGCCGGATGTCGTGACGTTCGGTGCTGCCATCACTGTTTGTGGAAAGGCCAGCCGCTGGCAGGGAGCGCTGATCGTGCTCGAAGAGGTAGACGCGCAACATGTTGAGCACAAATTGCTTACCTACAATGCGGCCATAAGCGCGTGCGAGAAAGCAGCGCAGTGGCAGAAAGCGCTTAGTCTACTGGCTTCTGTTGACTTGCGCAGGTCGGCACCAGATTCGATTAGTTGTAATGCAGCCATCAGTGCCTGTGAGAAGGCTGCTCAGTGGCAGCGGGCCATTCTTTTGCTTCGCAACAGTCCTCAAGCTGACATCGTGAGTTACAATGCAGCAGTGAGTGCCTGTGAAAAAGCAGGGGAGTGGCAGCATGCCCTGCTGTTGCTGCGCGAGGCCGAGACGTTGCAGCCAACCCTCGTCACACACAATGCAGCCATCAGCGCTTGTGGGAAGGTAGCGGAATGGCAGCAGACCCTTGACATGTTGGGTCGCGTGCCTCTGTGCCGTCTTTCCCCGGATGTGATCACCTGCAGCGCCTGCGCCAGCGCTTGTGAGAAGGGCGCCCAGTGGGCAGAGGCCCTCAGACTGGCCACGCGTCAAACGAAGCTCGGCGTGGTGTTGTGCAATGCGGCGCTGAGCGCCTGCGAGAAGGCGCGCGCCTGGCAGCAGGGGCTGCAGCTGCTCCGAAGCCTCCCCGGCCGGCGCCTGCGAAGGACGCTGGTGACGTGCAACGCCGCGGTGCTGGCCTGCCATGCGGCCCAAGCGTGGCGCCAGGTGCTGGAGATCGTGGAAGCCGCCGCGCAGACTGGTGAACGAGTCCCAGATCAGTCACACAGCGCACGTTCAACACAAGGAGACCTGTGTGATGTGGTCATGCGCAGAGCTGCTGTGAGCGCGTGCGAGAGGGCAGCGCTCCGTCAGCGAGCTGTGATATTGCTTTGGGAGGTCGGGCAAGTTGCAACAGAGTTAAAGGCCAGATGAAGGATCTACCAGCCCTGCCTCGGGGAATTCTGCCACGGCTTTTGGCCGTGCCTTCAATCTCCCCAACCTGCTGCAGCAAAACGGGTAACGGATGCAGAGGGGGCTGCACAAATCCGTCCGAGAGTTTTCGGCTTCCAGTCATGGGCTCCGTCTCCCACCATCCGCTGCTGCAATGCACCAAAACCATCTCCGAGCAAGGGAAGGAGAACTGGCGGACAGTCTCATGCCTGCTGTCCAAGATGGAGACAAATCACCTGGAGCCGGACATCATGGCATGCCAAGCAGCCATGAGAGCATGTAGATCTGAATGGCGTCAAGTAGTTTCTCTTCTCAGCAGCGTGGAAGAAAAGCTTGTGCCTGACACAATGACATACTCTGCAGCTGCTGCTGCCTGTGCCAAGGCGTTTCTGTGGGTGGATGCCATAGAATTGCTGGACGCAGCTGATCGCAGAGATCTCCAACCCAACAGCTTCACATCCAGTTCTGTCATCAGCGCTTGTGGAAAAGCTTCTGAATCGCAGCAAGCGCTGCGCTTTTTGCAGCTCATGGGAGCAAAACACATGCAGCCCAATGTCATTTGCTACAGCGCGGCCATCAGCGCATGCGAGAAGTCCGGCTTGTGGCGGCATGCGCTTTTGCTGCTGGACGCGATTGAGGAGAACCGCTTGGAGATGAACGTCATTGCATGCAGCGCTGCAATCAGCGCCTGTGGGCAAGCGGGCAAGTGGCTTGAAGCCTTATTTCTCTTGGGCGCAGCTGAGACGCAAGGCTTGCAGCCGGATGTGGTCCTCTACGGCGCTGGCATCACCGCCTGCGAGCGGGCGGCGGAATGGCAGCGGGCGCTGCTGTTGCTGGAGAGGGAGGAGGACATCCGGCTGCAGCCGAGCGTGGCCAACTTCAATGCTGCAGTGAGTTCCTGCGAAAAAGCCTCGGAGTGGCGGCAAGCCCTATACCTGCTAGAAAAGCTCGAGAGGAGCTGCCGGCCAGATGCAATCACATACAATGCTGCCATAAGTGCATGCGAAAAAGCTGCTGAGTGGCAACAGGCCTTGCTTTTGCTCAGCAGCTGTGCTGCGAGGAACTTGGGAAATTTGATTTCATATAATGCCGCCATCAGTGCCTGCGAGAAGAGTGGCAAGTGGCAGCTGGCTCTTCATTTGCTGAGCAAAGTTGAAGGTTTTAAGGGCTTGGTGCCAGACGTCATCACCTTCAGCGCAAGCATCAGCGCCTGTGCCAAAGCAGCGCAGTGGCACTCTGCTTTGCTTCTCCTGGGTGAGGCGGAAGCCGAAGGTTCGGTGAATGTGGTCACTTACAACTGCACCATCACTGCCTTGGGCAACGCCTCTAGGTGGCAGCAGGCGGTCAAGCTGTGGGAGTCGTTGCGGGCAGCGGATGGGGTCTCCTTGGGTGCAGCCATCAGTGCCTGCGAGAGAGCCTCCGCCTGGGAGCACGCGCTTCTCCTGCTCTCGCGTGTTGCAACGCCCGGGGTGGTATGTCATAACGCTGCGGTGAGCGCTTGTGAGAAGGCCGGGGAGTGGCAGCAAGCCCTGCAGGTGCTGAGATTGACAAAAGGCCAAGCCACAGTGATTACCTTCAACGCCGCGATCAGTGCCTGTGAAAAGGCGTCAGCGTGGCAGCAGGCGATTCAGCTGCTGAGGAGCTTGGAGCAGGCACGGTTGCAGCCAGATGTCATCAGCTACAATGCTGCCATCAGTGCCTGTGAGATGTCCGCCCCGCTCTTAAGCTTGTCCCTACTCCAGGACCTCAAGATGCTGCGACTGCAGCCCAGCATCGTCAGCTACAGTGCCGCCATCAGCGCCTGCGAGAAGGCAGGAGCCTGGCGGCAGGCGCTGTCTTTGCTGACGATGTGTACGCCCAACTTGGTGACCTGCAACGCCGCGATGGGCGCCTTGAGGTGGCAGTGGCACATCGCCCTGGGTCTCCTGGAGGACATGGTGCGCCGCGGCTTGCAGGGCGACGTCCTCACGCTGGCCGCGGCCTTTTTGGCCGCCCGTGGCGCCCGAAGGGTGGGGCTGCTGCGGAACGTCCAGAGCTTGGCGCTGCGCGGAATGCGAGCTGTCCGAGAAAAGACGGAAGCGGCCAAGGAAAGTGGATGTGGCTGTGGGGGGGGTGTGAGTGGCCTGACTCTTTGGTGCAGGGGAGGCGTAGCTTGGGCTTCAGAGCCATACAGACAAGACGCAATAGCCTTCCACCGGGATTGCTTCCGGCAAAAAGCACGAGACACACTTCAAACCAAATCATCCGATGTCTGCCACACCCGTCCAGATCTGCCATGTCGCAACTGAGATCCTCGCTTGGCATTCGGTTCCGCCATGGCACTCAGAGTCTCTGTGAAGTTCGGCAAGGCTTGCGGGGCAGGGGGGGGGGGAGTTGAGTCGAAAGACCAAATATGATGGGCCGTATGGATCTGAATTTGGGATACTTGGTAGACATTTGCTTCCCAGAATGTCAGATTCATGGCCGTTGAAGTCTTGAGCTGATCAAATTCTTCGCCGCCTGAGCATGCCGTTGGTTTTTCATGGCTTTGGCACAGACATCACCACATTTCATGTGGACGTTTTCCCAGTCTCAGTTGAATCGACGGATGGGTTTGCGGTTGGTGGAAGGGAACGATGGACCAACGCTGGGCCCAGGAGTCCAAAGATCTGGACTTCCAGCAAGAGGCAAATCAGTTTGGAGCGGGAGGGGATTTGAAGCATGGTGGATTTACATATGTACATAAATATATATATATATGTATATATGCGTTCCCGTGCGTTCTTGTAGGGAAGGTGCGGTGTTCGTTTTTTCTTCTTCATCTTGGCTTTTCTGAGAGATCGAAGGAATCAACCTGGATTGCCTTGACGTTTCTGGAGGACTAGAAGTTGTGTTCTGGTAACTCGATCGGCCACACCGTGCATTTGCAGCGACTTCAGAAGCTCAAACTACGCCAATCAATCATGACAGGATTCCGCAGGGTCGGAATTCGTTTACTTCCTGGGATTTGGTTGACAGACTTGGGTCATGGTGGCAAAGCCGTCATGTTCGGATGGGAATCTCATGTTGATGTCAAAACAAATAGGGCCCATTTCCCATGGGTTTGAGTGCCACACTGCTCGGCTCTCCCGCCTTTCTTGGGGCCCTGCCGAATCAAAAAAACAACAAAAAAACAGATGGATATCGCGAAGAAATATCATCGCTTTAGAGGTTGATGCCATTTCCATTCTGTTCATCCATCCTTCCTGTTTCCATCATCCATCCTTCCATCCTTCCATCCATCCTTCATGAAACCCTTCTCTCCATCCTTTCTTATGAGCCCTTCTTTTCAACGCCCTTTCCTCGGTTTCCGTTCGATGTTTTTTGTTTCCAGCTCGCCAGATCAAGCTGGGGGAGCTGCGGGAGGAGATCGAGCAGCAGATGTCCGTCCCTAAGGCAGGGTGTGTTGGTTTTATTGGCTCTCTTTGGGTTGATCTAAAGGAACTCCAAAGGTGAAACTACCATTTGTTTTGGGGTTCCAGAAATGGTTAGACAAACCCAATCTCTTGCGGAAGCCAAAGCTGAAGGCACAGGTATTTCGGGGCTGGATATTGCACGGGTGGAAAGGCTTTGCCACGGGCGAGTTCTTTGGTCAGTGCTTCACGGTTTCAGGGCCAGCGATTTTTAGATCCGCACAAACAGAAGGCCCCAATTTGGTCAGCTCAGGCCAAGCAGTCCCTGATCTGCCACGGTCAGCGTTGGCACGGCCCCCGCCTTGGCATGTTCGTGCCGGAGCTGTGTGGGCCCGTTTCGTTTTGTGGGACCGGAGGTTCGGTTCTCGTGGGCTCTTGGCCAGGCCTGGCGTTTGCCGACAGCCTGCCAGTGCTAGAGGCCGCTGGCCGCAAGGTGGGTTCGTGCAGGATGTGGAGGTAAAGCTGTCATTTCATCATGCGGCTTCCGCTTGGCACGGATCTAAAAACAGCCATGCCATGCTCGAGATTCAGAGCATCGGCTTGTGCAGCCCTGATGATTTGTGCATCAGCCCCCCCCCCCCCCCACTCCCCCCCATAGACTTACATGTTTTGCTTGGTGGCAGGGCACTCGGGATGTGGACGGAATGAAGGCAGGGGAGCTTCACTGCAGAGAATGTAGCATGGCACTCGGATACTTCTTGGTAGATGTGTTAGGATGGAGAGTTGAGACTTGAGCAGGTGGTCAGCGTCATGCTCATGGCTCCCGCGGGGATCGACGGTACAGAAGAGGCCCTCTCATTGCCAAAACTCGGTGAGGCCTTGTGAGTGAATGAATTCAGAGAATATCCATCCCAGACATAATATGATCTTGGAGTTCTGGCTGCCAGGCTTGAGCAGTTTTCATCCACCGACGGTAAACGGAACCGACTCTCACGGCGCGTTCTGTGCTCGGGGAGGTCTCGCGCTGCGAAGCGCAAGTCAAGGAGGCCCGGTGAGAAGGGGCATGACTCAGAGGCCGCCAAAACTGGTTGAAGTAGGTACGAACCAGGAACTGGTGGCGATGACATCAATGATATTTGCAAGGTCTTGCTTCCACGGAGTTGATTTAGAATCACTGGGTTGAGCTGTGTAGCGCACACTGGGAAAAGAGAAGGAGACATGGTTGAGGGCGCGGCGAACTGTTCTGTCTCGCGCAGGCGCAAGACATTGTGCAGAAGCTGCCAGCGGCAAGTGCCGATGAGACACAGAAGGCGGGGAAAGTTGGAAGACTTGAACTTGTGGCAACTCTTTCCTTCTTATTTTCTGGCTCCAACCTTCTCCCGTAGCTTATCTCTTTTCAATCTTCTCGCCGTGTTCAGCATTCCCGTCTTTCCTTTTTTTTCGGTCGTTCTGTTCGCCTGCAAATGCTTCAATTCCGCTGCGCGCGGAGTATTTCACCGAGGCAGCACTCTTGGCCCACGACCTGCTGGTGAAAGCCTCACAGGCACTGGCCGCGCTTGATGTGCCCGGTTTCAATGGCCAGTGCCTTGCCTGGCACTGCGCGGGCCTTTTTTGTTGTTGCGTCCTTGGGAAAGGGAGGGCGATTCGTGGCTTTTCGTGGCATTTTGGCTTCCTTCGTGGTTTTCTGTGGCCTTTGCGCAACCTCAACCTGCTGCAAGAAGCGAGACGAACCGCAAGTAGTGATAAGCATGCGCAGTCAGACAGCTTCTGGCTGTTCTTTGGAACATATGTCCTTCTGCGGCATATGGGGCGCACGCCACGAACAGCGGCCAAACAACTGGCAGGCCTTTGAGGCCGATTTGTGTTCCTGCAGTGGCGGCTTTGTGTATTCTTGCAAAATGCCACGGTAACTGTACGCCACTACTACGACGTATCCTCTGCTGTGCCACCTTTCCTGAACTTGAATCAAAGTCACGACCAGCCTAAACCGCCCTAATCTCGGCCTAAACTAACCCTGCACCCTAAACCACTTGCCCTGCTTTGCAAACAACACAAACCCCCTGCGGCAAACAGACGAAGTCAGACTGACCCTAAGGCAAGTGGTCTCCCGAAAGCGTTTTTCCGGGAGCGGAACTCTCAGGGCTTGGACTGCCTTGAGCTGGTCGGTGCACAGCGCGCGCTCGGCGCCCGGATTTGGCGCATGGAGGTGTCAAATTTGGCTGGCAACTCACGCCAAATCAGCCGTATACGTTGTATGGATAGTGTGCACTACATATATATATATATATGTATATAGATGCACATACACAGATATTTGTATTGAATATGTATGAAGGTCTAAGGCCAACAAGCCGCCCAGTATGCGAGGTGTTGTTTTTCGCTGAAGTTTTTGGAGGACAAATGCACGGCATCTTACCCCAGCCACTGTCAATGCTTATCGGTCGCGCCTAGGACCCGCAGCCAAGAATCACCCCCGACCGCTTGAACAACGATCATGCCGGATTTATCAAGAGCCTGATCGATTGATAAGGGGTTTGGTTTCCATGAAGGATCCGCCCTGAAGTTGGAAACACCCCCAACCGCTCCCGAGTTTTCTGATTTTGACTCGAGGCGCCGACGCGAGCTGCTGTCCCAGATCGAGGCCGGGATCGGCGGATCGGATCGGATCGGATCGGAGCGGCCTGCGGAGCTGAAGGCGCTGGAGAAAGACGTGGACGCCAAGAAGCGCTGAGCCGGGGGAAAAAACAAGAAGCGAAGCAGGCTGACCCCTGGCGGGAGGGTTTTGGGCTTGCCGTGCGCTTCTTTTTTGCGTCTCTTTTCTTTTTTCTTCTTCTTTTTTTCTTGTGCGGGAAAGCAAGCTCTTGCGTGGCCGGAAATGCTCGAAGGGGCCGATGGTCGCACGGCATGAGGATTGATAAGCAAAGGCCAAACTGGCGCTGGTTGCAGTAGGCACTGAAGGATTCAAGATCCGAGCAATGAGTGACATCCACACACTCACACACTTCCCACCCACTTCTGGCACCACTTGTTGGGGCTAGCTTCGGAGCGCTTGCTTGCCTGCTTGCCCTGCTTGCTTACTAACAGCCTCCAGTGAGCAAACGCTCACGTGGCTAGTGGCCATGCCGCTCGATGGCATGTCCACTTTTGACTGGCAGACCCATGAGTGCCTGAGCTGAAACGGCATTTTTACGAGTCACATTTGAGCTGCAGAGAGCTGTTGGACTCCGCGCAAGTCGAAGGTTCCGGATCGAGCAACGCTAGTGATTGGATGTCTTGACGCACCGAGGAAAACCTTCATTCCGCTCTTCGATTATTGGAGGACGCGGGGCCAGGTTTGTTGCAGGGCAAGAAGATAAGCCCCCTTTTTTGAGGCCTCGACTTTTATTCCAGACCACTCAAATCACGGAATCTTGAAAGGGAAGGGTCTCGACTGCGGCATGGAATATATGTTTAGAGCGCCGTGTCGGCCTTATGCAGCCGCCCGTGGTTGCCGCCGACGAGAGTGCCTGCTCCATTTTTCCGCGGAGGATGTACACGCCGATCAAGCCGGACCTCGACTCCCCGTATTGGCCCACCGTGAACTCCATGGATTGGCCCTACGGCACCAAAGGAACCGACCCGTTCGACCGCGGATCGCTGCTCGCGGATCGCGGCTCGCGGATCGCCAGGCGTGTGAAGGGTTTGTACCCTTGAAAAACACAAGGGAAAGCCATAGGGAAACCGTTTCAAAGGAAAGCATACAAAGCCATCCTTTTTCAAAGGACAGCCAATCCATTTTGGGATGTGAGATAAAAGATGTGTGGAAGATCTGTGTGGCATCAGTGGAACGTCTTGGTTGGGGAGATGACGAGTGCCGGCAAACGGACGGGAGGGCGAAGTTGCCGATGCATCATGCAATCGAGGTTGTACGCCCACGCTTCAGCAATGGATCAGCAGGTGGCAAATGGGGGCAGAACAAAGAAAGCAACAAGACATATGCAACTTGCGACTCGCCCACGAAGCCAACAAGCCAGACATGAGAGACAGAGTAGCCGCTTGGCAATGCGCACTCCCATCAGCTTTTCCGCGTGATAGCTCTCTTCGAGTTGTGTGTGCGCGTGTGCGTTTGTTGCTTCTCCATCTTCGCGTCGGCATTTGTTGCTTCTCCATCTTCGCGTCGGCGTTTCCCCTGCTTCTATTTGGAGTTGGTGCCCAAAGCAAATCAACCGCCTCAACTCTAACTCTGGGCACCGGTGCTCGCAACCATGGCTGCCTTCGCAGCTGGGGGCTTTCGTGCGCTCGGCCTGGCAGAGAGGCCTCGGGGTATGGGGGAAATTGTCTTGACATTTGGGGACACATGGTTGTGTTTTGGTTTGCCTTAAAATGCAAGCAGAAGGGAGTCCCCAAAAAGACAAGCCCAGAGTTGTTGGCCTTCTTTGCTTTCCGCATAGACCAAGCTGCGTAAAAGTTTAAGCCACCGTCAAGAGGACTGCTTGTGATAGACCCAGGGGACCAGGAAGGAAAGCCCCAAAACGCGCGTTGGCTCAATGAAGGACAATTGCTGGTCAACTGAAACGGATGAGGCCAACTACCAGAAAAGGAAAAACAAGGAAGGAGGCCTTTGATCCATTGGTTTCACTTCAACATCTTGGCTGGACTACAACAACGTCAGTCTAACTCAGGCCAGACTCCAGGCCTGGCTAGAAGCGGATTTGTCCCCTATGGCCGGACATTGGCGTGGCGACGGCCAACCACTTGCGGAGATCTTGTTTCCGTTAGTGTTTTTGCCAAAGGATGCTCGGCCGCTCAGGCTTGGAGTCTGGAGCTCCAAAACTTTAGAGCCGGCTCAGTCCGCTAAGTTCCCCTGTGAAAGGGCCGAGGCGTCATTTCCCCCCGAGTTGCCTCTATTTCCGCGCACTTCCCCTTCATTGCCCCTTTATTGTCGCTTTACTACCCCTTCAAATCCTAAGCATTTCCCCTTGACTTCCCCATCATTCCCCCTTCATTTCCTTTTCATGTTCCGTCATTTCCTATCAATTTCCCCTTCATTTCCCTGTCCCTTTCCCCTTGTTTCGGCTTCATTTCCCTTTCATGTCTCCTTCATTTCCAGTCATTTCCCGACATCTCCCCTCGTTTCCGTTCATTTCCCGTTCACTGTCTGTCATTTCCTTTTCCCCTTCATTTCTTGTTCCTTCCCCTTCACGTCCCTTTCAGTTCCCCTCCGTTTTCTGTGCAGTTCCCGTTGATTTCCTGTCACTTCCGCTTCCCTTTCCCTGCGTGTCCCTGCATTTCCCTGCGCCTCACCGTCATTTTCCCTTCATTTCCCCTTCATTTCCCCTTCATGTCCCCTTCAGTATTCATGTCGCCTTCATGTCCCCTTCATGTCCCCTTCAGTATTCGTGTCGCCTTCATGTCCCCTTCATGTCCCCTTCACTATCCATGTCGCCTTCATGTCCCCTTCATTTCCCTTCATTTTCGTTGTATTTCCCCTTCATTTGTATGCATTTTCTCAAATTTCCCCGTCTCCCCCTTCAGTCCCTTCATTTCCTTGTCATGCTGTCACTTTCCTGCACTGTTCTGCATTTCCGCGCATGTCCCCTTCAGTTACCCTTCATTTCCGATGTATTTCCCCTTCATTTCCCCTTCGTTGCAGCTTCATTTCCCGTTCGTTTCCTCTTCACTTCTCGCTTCCCTGTCATTTCTACGGTTCAAAAAGGAGGATGCCAGAAAAGACACTGTTTTCAGCCTGAAGGAGGCCAAGTTCCACTGTTGCTCCCAAAGACACTGACAAACACGGAAGTGTTCAACGTTTTCGGTCGAAAAGCACAATGCTTTTTGATGTTTTCGGCAAGAAGCGGAAGACCCGAGCCGGCAGAGAGCCGGCAGGGGGCTTCGAGCCTGTCACTCCTGTTTTTCCACACCGGCTCCGCAAAGGCTTGTCTTAGCGTACCGTCATCAAATTACCGCGCAACGCGTTGAGCGATGTCGGCGGATATCGACTGGCAAAAGCACATCACACCCACGTATGCGCCCTGCGCTCGCAGAAGTCGTTCCATTTTGTTGCAGACGGTTTCTCGTGACAAGATCCTGACATCAACTTTCTCAACTCGCGAGTTGTCCTGAAGTTTTTTTTTACTCCAGAAGTACCAGGTAAATAGCAGACAGAGCATCGATTCTGGGCTGAATCCAAGCACAAATATCATACTGTCAAGTACTGCTATTTTTTATTGTCACGAGTTATTCTTTTTGTTGGATAATATTTCAGATCCCGTTTTTGCTGCACGGTCTTGGGAGGCCAGGCGTCAGCGGAAGACCTACACGGCCCACCGCCAACGCATCGCTTCCGGGACCGCCGGTGCTGGCTGCCGCCGCCTTTGGCGCGGCCCTGTGCCGGCGCGCACGGCCGGCCCTTTGGCCGGGCTTCAGATGGGGGCGCTTTCTTCAGATGGGGGGTCTTCAGATTGGGGCAATTTGCAAGGTGTAGAGGGAAATCCGGCACATCGGGAAATCCTAAACGACTCCAAGTGTTTCTGTTTTTCTCTTTTCCATATTTTGAGATATGCCCATATTTTTTGAAGGGTGCACTTGTCATTGATACTGTCTATACCAGGTTTGAAAGTCTTCTTTCCAATCCCTTCCCTGCGCTTTATTGCGACGCGTGCGTTTGTTGGGCGTACACGACTCCTTTGGGCATTTGGGGTTTCTTGGGGTGCTTGCGGTATTTGGTGCATGTTGTGTAGATATTTAGTATGAACAAAGACTGGGAGCAGCTTGGAGTTTGCCAGAATTCGGCAACTACTCCTCTTGCTGTTGAGCTATGGAAGGCAGCAGGGGTAAGAAAGATAAGCTGCTTAAGAGGAGGCTGAGATCTTCCGTTCAGGTCACTGTCTTAACTCAGGTCTCCACTTCCACCAAGGGGGCTTCTGTCAAGTGAGGTTTGGATGCGGGCATTGGTTCCCTCGCAAGCCGGTTCAGGCGTGCCGGGCACAAGGCTTAGCCGAGCTGCGAGTCGCTTGGCTTTGAGAGGGGCCTGGGGTGCTTGATCAGGTGGCCCTGAGTTGGCGGTGGGATTTGAGCCCCTGGTTGTGGGAGGTAAATGGAAAAACCGTCCTTCACCAATCCAAACTACAAATTGGAGGGAAGCTGAGATCAGGGATTCATGGAGAGGGTGCTTCTGGCTTGAGTCGAGTCTATGACCCGCACTTGCAACTGAATATGCGCAGGTCCAAGCTGGGCGCATTCGCCGGAGGCCCCCTCCTGAAGATCCGGAACCCGAAGATCAGGAGTGAGGGTTCAACTCTGTGTCTCTGGCGTTTTTTTTTTACATCTTGGAAGAGCCTTTGGAAGAGACTCCAGGCCTTGCCAAATGGCTGTGGCTCAAAAACAGGTACCAAAGTGGCACCTTGGTAAATGGAATCAAAGACTATCATTTGCGTAACCCTAGCTCTTTAATTTTGAGCCACACCCAACTGCCAGTTGCAGGAATGGTTCAATCTGGAGAAGGACCTCAAGGGCCTCTCGTCCATCTTCCTGGGCAACCCTTTGAATGCTCCTCAGCTGCATATGTTGCTACGTCCCGAGTCGGGCCACTCGCACTCTGCAGTCTTTGGGAGCCGCGTTTCAGGTGAAGAGGCTGCTGAACAGGGCTACTTCTGAAATGGCAAGGGACCCAGGGCTGACCGTGGACCATTCTCCTTTCGAAGCCAAACGCTTTCTCTCTGAACGCGTCCCAACTGAAAAGTGAAGCGCCTCCGAAAACGGGCGGCTCCGCTTTACAAAGCACGCGAAGGCGCGCGCCCGGGAGGGGGGGGGTACGAACGCCACCCGCTTTCGGGGAACGAACGCGCCGAGTTGATGCTGGTCTTCGTGCCGCTGGGCCTGGCCTCCAAGGGCCTGGGCTGGGGGGACGTGGCCACCTTCGGGCTCTGCTTCCTGGCCATCGTGCCCTTGGCCAAGCTGCGCCTCGCCATTTGGAAGCCTCGGTCCAATAGATGGGTGTCCTAAATGACTTGAGAGCCATTTTGTTGTTTAGTGGCGGTTTGCGTAGATGTCTATTTTTTATTATTATGTTAGTTTAGTTTGGGCAATGAATAGATGGGTTCCACGGGTTTAGATTGGGTGTTGTTCCATCCATTTTTCAGGGGAAGCCCATCCATCTTCCCACTTTGGGTGACGCATGGCCATGGGCCTTCCGGAGTCGGTGGCCGATATCAATCTGAGTGGGTTATTCTTCCCACTCGGAGCTTTGGTCTTCGGTGTCGGGTCCTTTGAGCCAAAAAAGGAGGCAGGTCGGGATTCTTTTGGTGTGCGGGATGTGGAGGTGGGGAGACGGAGAGAAGGGCGGAGTCTTAGGCTGGGCGAGGCCACCGAGCAGCTGGCGTGCTCCGTGGGCCAAACTTTGGGAGGCCCAGTCAGTGCCCGCGGGGCCGGGAGGGCGCGTTTGGTTGAAGCCATCGGCGTACCTAAGAAGAAAGGAGCGGAAAGCAGCGCTTCTTTAGGCAGCAAAGCCATTCCTGCGCAAAAGAGGCGACGCGTTTTGACACCACTTTCATGTCAGGTTTTGGAAGAGTACTGAGAATGAGAGGGTTGATGCCAAGTTACGGAAGCTGGAACCACGCAATGTTTGGGGAC